TCATCAGTTGCGCCGCCACAACTACAACAAGAGGCTGCTGGAGAGAAGCCGGGGGTCGGTGCTGCTCCTCACCGGCCCGCTGGAAAGGGCATCATCTACAGTGGACCCCCTCCCCTCCAAATCACCGGCCCGTTCCTACTGACGACAGTCAGCACGGCCACGGCTCGCTCGATAACGGCGTGCGGAGAGCCGAGACCTCACCGATCGTTACGTCCAGAAAGGTAGGCGGAAAGTAGATAATTTGCTCAATTCTCCTCTGTCGATTCTCTGCACTTGTCGCTGCTGGAGGAGGAGGAGGGTGAGAGGAGGAGGTTGTCCTTTACTTGGCAGCACTCCTGCTCAACTGGAAGGTATTTGGTAAATCCCAGGTCCCCTTGTGGCTTCGTGTGACATCATTTTTTAAACCACAGTGCGGCCGCGGGGTCAGGAGCCGTCAGAGTTTTAGATCAGATTTGGGCACATCGTGGCTCCTGAAGCCCAGCCCTTTTACGCACGGTTCAGATAAGTCTCAGAGCTGTCAGAAAACGGATCGCAACATGGAGCAGAAAGTGGATTTCCAGCCATCGATCTCAGCCTGGAGGGTATGGGTCGTTGTATCACACACGTTGACTCGAGTATATTTATCTATTTATTTGACACAGCAGATTTTAAGATGCCAAAAGCAATCCGCGGAAGAAGAGTCCTCTAGACAGACTGATACATATGAAAGATGAGAAAAAACCCTGCGCGCTCTTTTACGCACAGAGAGCCGGTGATGAAAAACGCCATTTCGTGACGGTATACAAACCCAAATCAATGGCTTTATCCTCTCAGAGGTAACACTACAGAGACAGATGCAGATGCAGAGACAGATGTTTCCCTCCAGGAAACACAAGTGACCGCGAGGGCCTGGAGAGCAGACCCATAGCAATCACAGCCAAACACTGTCCAAACACGTTTAAATAAAATTAAAAAATTAAAAAAAAAGTTTAAAAGGCAAATGATTGATCAGTTAAAGAATTTCTTAAGCTCCGTTTACACTACTATTAATAACAATTATTATTATTGTGCTTATTTGCGATCAGACAACGTCTGAAAATGATGACAGCGTTTCAAACAGCAGATACAGTTTGAGAATGAAGTCAGGATCAAAGAAGGACATTTATTTAAAAATGTCAGTCATAATTTAGGAAATGTTATAAAAAACGAGGTCTGAACACTGGTGGTAAACAATGCAACTATAATAATATTTATGACAAAGTGAAGTGAAACGTGACGCTCCCAAACAGATTCAGGTGAAACGACGCACAATCAGGTGTTCATCATTAAGGACAGGGAGGTTTTCACACGTGTCAGAGGTCACCGAAAATACCAGCGTCTCCTTCCACACACAGGCCAGAACTATTTATTTTATACTCACCATGTGTTATTACAAATAAAATCTACTGCCTCCACCTGGAGCCCGCGGCCCAGAGTGCTATTTATTGTGTGGTTGTATTGTTGCTTAATATCTTTTATTTCCGATCCATTGTGTTTGTTTTAGTCTCCTTCGGTTTTGCTACAGATGTTTGTGTTATAACGGAACCTTTCATTTTAAGGCCCCCTCTGTAACATTTCCACAGAAGCACTAAACCCACGTTCACTAACTGTGTCCTCTCGGGCACAAACACGCGGCTGCTGCTGTAGAAACACACGGTGCATGACAATAAATCACAATGTGTAAAAATCGTTATAATTTCTGACAAATACTGCACATTAATGAACACTAAAAATTAGACTTGTAATCATACAACACCGTTCATGGGTAATTTATTAAACCTGTATAAACGCTGCTACGTGTTACCTCATTATTATTATTAGCTTCACTGCAGAGACCCACTGTAAAACCAACTAAAGGCCAAGGATGAAGGAATGAACAGCACAAAGCAATAATGGAGGAGGACATGCAGAATCTATGCAGCAGCAACATGTCAGCCATATGTGAGCAGAACAAATACCACAATACACACAAGTAAAATGCACTAAAATATTTTGATTTGTGTGCAATATGTACAATAAATACATCCCAGTGAAACACAAATCACAAGGAGTAAAATTCATTATGATGATTGTTAGTAGTGTCTATAACAAAAGTGCTTGTGTAACCCTGCTTTAATTCTGTCTGAGGCCTGTAAATTTAAACCTGTAAACTGTTTCCTTCCGGTGACTTTTCTCTTCTGGATGATCCTGTCGAGTCCACGTTAGAAGGGTAAATATTATTGCTCGCTCTGAACCATTCAGGTGTTTGAGCTTCTGTCTGTTTTACTGTTTCCTGGCATTAACTCAAAAGTAGATGCAGTCTCAGTGTTGACAACATCAACTCGGAGGCTGTTTTACATTTTAATTCATGACCGACGAATAAAACTAAATCACTTTTCATTTGGTGTTTATTTCTCTCTCTGCTAAAAGTCTTAGAACCTTATGGTCACAACAGCAATGACATTCTTGGTCTGGTGTTTGTGTGTCTGTGGCTGCAGCAGCTGGACTCAGACTGGTTTTGAATAGAGGAAAGGGTTCGATGCTCATTTTAGTGGGGAGAGAGAGAGAAAACACGCCGCTGATGGACAACGTCCAGACCACACTGTGCACTGGACAAAAACCTCGGCAAACCTCTGAGACTGAGATAAACACAAACAACTTTAAATTAAAACAGCTGAAAGTGACCAGTCAGGCCCTGAATAATGTTTAATGCCTTACAAGTTTGCAACCTATGGGTCTTCAGCCGTGCTCTTCTTGTGCACGAGGAGCTCAGAATATTAGGAACACCAGTGAATATAGTGAAGTACAGCACACCACCACCTCCAACTCTGATCTCAGTGATAAATATAAAACTGGAGTTCTATTCCCGACAGTTTCACCAAAACAACCTTGCTATAACCCTGTTATGACAGGGTTGTTGCCTTCAGTTGTACAATTGTGTACCCAAGTGCTTGGTGCTTGTATTTATTTTTATTTTATGCTTTTATTGAAAACAAGGGAACAAGAAAATGAATTTTTAGAGATTTCTTAAACTAGGCTTCAGATTTTCTGTCACGATCACTGGAGCCATGTTTCCTTCATTCTGTCTGCAAATAAACAAGACGTTTAATTCCCATGTTCTTTGGTTCTTACTTTTTCCCCAGGTTGCGCCATTTGTTCACATGGAAATATTGATTTCCTCATAATTCAACACAACAAACTTGACAGCATAGTAACAGCAAGTCCACATACCTTAGTGTATTAGATGAATGGAACAGCCTCCACTCATGGTTTCAGTGCTTCTACCAGATGCTGCACAGACTTGCTCCAGTTCAGCCACGGGAGCATCAGTGAGGGCCAGCCCGATGCTGCCGATGAGGTCTGGTTCACAGTCAAGGTACTGCCATGCTGAAGCAGGACAGGGGCCCAACAGGAACTGCTGCCACAAAGCTGGAGGACAACCACTGTCTAAAGCATCATTTTACAGTGAAGGTATGCGGAATAGGTGGGCATGACCACATACTTTTGGCAATATAGTTTAGCAAGGTTTAGCCAGGTTTGGAGAAAATCAACAGCATCTAATAAGAGTTGGTTCATGGAGATGAACAGCTGCTGGTGCTAACCTTCCAGTCGGGTGCCACTGGACTGCAATTACAGAGATCCAGGCCAAAAAAAAAAAAAAAAAAGTAGAAAACACGGTGGAAATCTGGCACTTCTGTTCACTTCATGGCTACAGCTACCTTCAGTGAAACAAATTAGTTTTCAATTTCCAGTGTTTCCACTAAAGTTTTGCTTTTAAGCACAACCAGCAAGTGTATAAAAGCAGGTGGATACAGATACTGGCAAAACACTTTTAGTGCAGACTGACCGACTATAAACTGACTTGACAACACACTAGTCCAGGAACACCCACAATTCAGCACTTGCTGGAGAAGTCCAGTGGTAAATCCCAACTATCGATCCTTGTGCCTCACTCAACTCGGAAGTTGTTCTGGTCCGCCATTGTAAAGGACATCCCAAAGTTCCAATTCCTGCTCTGAAGATCAAGGAGGCTGCTGGAAAAGCCATGGGCGAGGACACAGGAGTCCATCCTTTGATACACCCCTTTACTGGACATCAGCTGGTGATTGGAAGGATCAAAGGAAAGGACACCTCATTTCCGGGGTTCATCCAAAGTCTCTTATAAGCACCAGGGTTTCCTTCATTTGTGTCTCTTCGCTGAGTCCGTCTTAGTCCCGCCAACATAAGTTGTGAGGAAATGATCTATGGAAAAAAATATGAGGAGAGAGGAATCGAGAAAACGATCAATCACCTGAAGTGTCACCAAATGATTTCTGATAAAGGGATGCATTGGTACATAAAAGGCTTCAGTGAAGGATGATCTCTTGTATACTCACTCATGGCTCCTCCAGCAGCCTCCTTGATCCTCAGAGCAGATACAAGACGTTCTCGATCCTTGTCCCACCGGAACAACTTCCAGGTCGAGTAAGGAAAGAGCATATAAGAGACATGAGATGCAGTCCTGGTAAACCGTGTCTCCTCGACACCTCTCTCCTCACTCTTTTCTTCACATCTCACATGGTCGGGACAAAAACTAAGAAAAGACAGAAGTGACTGTAACAGACTTGGGCTTTACCCCATGTTTCTCTCTCCATTCAGAGTATCTGATGTTGAAAACAAGTCATTTTCCAGTCCTCTGTATAAGATGACCCCCGCATTTTCAAAATTCCAGGAGTGTCTTGAATTTGGGCCAATACCGCAATTTTCAGTGGAGTTAAAACAGTGAATAAAGACGTACAATGCAAAAACAGGTGCTTTAAAAACACTTTTAATAGTGACACTTAGATAAGACACCTGAACAAAACAGGTGCACAATAAGACAATATAAATATATTTCTTCATATAGATTTTTGTCATTTAATTTTTGGTCTTTGAACTGCACTGACACAAACCGGGTCAAACAAAACAAACAGCAGGCTGCTGCACATCTGAGGCCTACACTGACTTCACAGCTCAACAACACACAACAGAAGGCAGCAAATGAACAAACAGCAGCGATGAGACGCTTCCTCTGCACATCCCTGTTCTCCCGGGAGGCTCCTGTTGGAAAAAGTCTGGACCTTCAACTCATTGGCTTTGATAGATGCTGGAAATGATGCACAGCAGGCGGCATGACTGTATCACTCCACAGCTCACTATTATTCTTCACAACAGTAAATATAACAACAAACAGAGATGAGAGCAGATCTACAAGTACATCAACATGTAGTCGTGTTTCTGAGCCATTAGTCTCCAATGTCTGACCTTCACTACAGTTTCAACAGTGGTGAAAGTGACTTCATGTTTTTATGTAGAGCTGAGTAGACTCACAAAACTCAGAAACCTGTAGAAAGATTTTTTTTTTTGCATCTTTTACCACCTGAGGCCACCAGTCGTTTATTCTGAGCTACACAAAGTTCAGATTCAGAGAGTATGGCATGATTTCACTGGCTTGGAGTTGTAAGGCTTTGTCTGCAGCTGTGAGACAACGAGGAACAAACAATAAGCTAATAAAGACCATTTTTGTTCTTATAGCTCAACCCTGTTACCAGACAAAACCTTGGACGATTCTATAAAATCCTTGATTCTATCAACATCGATTTCTGGAAGTTAAATGCTAAAGTTTTTTCCATTTTGACTATATCACACTTGGCAACTTCAGGATGATTAATGTTGGCTTAAAGGGTAAATCTCTTTATTACAACCTTGGTCTTGTTTTAGAAGATCTAACCATTTCTAACCAGGTACAACACAAAACATGAGCAGCCAGACTATCAGACAGGAAGGAAACAAACTCCCTGGTTCCTCAACTGATCTAGAAGCAAAAACCAAGGCTAACAGTAAATTAGGACTCACACTGTCCATTTAAAACATCCAGCCCAGTTCACTGAACTATTTTCTGCTTCCACTTTGACCTACTGCACTCACTACATTTGTGCACACTCAGATTTCCTGTGCAATAATGGATCATTATTGAAGCTTCAGGTGTGCTCACTTTCAGTTTGACCTCCACATAAAGTGGCTAAGATAATCTGGATCACCTGTTGGTTTGTTTCCAAGCTGTTGGATCGTTTGACAGCTCTTGTTCCTTGACCCATTTGATATCACATGTAATACTGATAGTGGACACAACCACAAAGAGCTAAACTGTAAAACTGTGGCTATCCTCTAACCACAACTAAAACACCTGCCTGAGGGAAAGATCACGGTGAAGGCCAACAAAAGCTAAGCTGAACTGTTTGGTCTGTGATGAGATGCAAACCTGTTGAAGAAATGGAGCTACTACACGCACACATTTACCACCTTCACATTACTTTCAACCGTGCTACATAAAAGACACACCAACATAGAAACTCTTGCAATAGATGCTAATTTTGTGTCATAGATAAGCCCACTATTACTGTAAAGGAACACGGGGGAACTGCAGTGGACGACTATGGGACCAAAACATGGTGGTGCTGGTTAGACCATCCAACATGTTGGCCCAGACTAAGCTTTCTTTAAAACCAATGGCCATAAACCTCACTGCAGACATGTGTGAATCCTAATGATGTCCCGATTGTCTTCTACCACCACCACTTTTACAGTAGAGAGATGAAAATCTACTGAGCTAACCTCTATGACATTTTTAATGACTCCATGACCTTCACTCTAGTGCTGCTCTCATAACAAAATCATCTACATGTTGGTCATACTGTGGGTCACTAAATCCTCCAACCTAAACAAACACAGAAACCACCTCCTAAAATGAGTGTTGTTTTAGAAGGAGCTCTTGGTTAGTTTCCTGACCTGACCATACAACCAGACTCGCCTGTGAGAGGCTGTGAGGTGCTATAACACCATCATGCTACTTCTGCTTTTGCTCACCAACCTCAACAGGTTGTATTATGAAAAAACAAAACAAAACAAGGCTTTCATTTTACTGGTGAGGACAGGAAACTTGGGCTGTTCAGCTTATAGGGGACGCTGACAGGACTTTATACTTTTACTCTGATTGAAATATTCAGCCAAATACATTTATTAGAAAACAAACTTTAAAAATACAACAGTGGGGTTTAATTAAAACAGTCAGAACCTTACAATTCCAAGTTTCCTATCAAAGAAATATGTTGTCAGCTGATTGTGCTGCGTTTCCTGTCAGCAAAATGACGACGGCAAAGTTGGTCAAGTTCACAGCTGCAGAAGCTTTATGAACAATAAGCTACAATTGTGGATGAAAGTAAAAAATACGGTGCTGCACTGACGGCGATCGCTGAGCTCTACTGTACAAAGTGACATCAATCAGAGTATGGCTGCATGTCGAGGAGGGCGGGGGCAGAGTGTCTGTTGGATAGCCCTTGCCTCACCTTGACTTCCTATTTGTCGTACATTCTGTCTCATGTACAGTATGTGTACGGTTCAACACGCTTGTGTCGCAGTGTCTGGTGATGAGCAGGTGACTGTCTGGATAAAAGGAAGGTGTGTCACTGCCTGAGTGTTCCCTCCTCACCTGATAAGGACCAGCAGTCATGACAACAACAACAACAAAAAAAATCTGACCTCTAGTGCACATGTGCATCTACAGTCAGGGTTTGATCAGGTTTAGTCCTAAAAATGGAAGCTAGGTAGATGTCAGATTTAGGCTTCAGTACTTTTGGTTTGTAGAGGAAGTGGTTCAAGAGCCTGAAAAGGTTTCGCATGTTCACCTGCGACATAAATCACAGAAGGCATGGACGTTCAAAAATACTGAGACAAACTAACACCTTGTTGGTTTAGATCTTTTTATATTACTTGAAAATCTAAAACAATGACAACTTTATTCTTTACTCGGCGAAGATTATCTTGTATCTTGCAGTTACCGTCATGGCTGGCCAAGGAAGCTATGCAACTGTCGGACTATATGATATTTCTGATTAACTATTACTGTAACAAGTGTCAAAAATGTCATTACGAATTTATTCACGACCTAACGTGGTCATGATGGATGTTCCCTCTTAGTTGGCAATATAATTTTAGCTATTAAGCAGAACTCAAAGTTTAGGTAGCACTAAATACATAGGAGGGGTGTAATGACAGTCACAACTTCAATTTTCACTACGTTTATTGAAGTTGAAAATGGTCATTCTTGAGCTGGAGTAAAGTACACTCAAGTAGAAAATGTGACACTACCTAACATTAGCGACTTGCTGTTGAGAACAGTGTGACCATTTTGTCTGGCATCCAGATTTTTGTTTGTTTCTTCAGTCTTATAAAATATGTTGACTGTAGCTTTGGTAGTGTTTACTGCCTACCACTCACTGAAGCAGAGTTCAGTAAAGAAAATGCAACAGCACTGTTTGCTAGCTAGTGTTAACATAGCCTGTCCTGTTACTGAACACTGGCCTGGTTATTTTCCTCAGCTGTGCACCAATTTCTGTCTATTGTCTCCACTCATACTATTAAATTATCCTATTGGAGTGTAGTTTCATTTTTGTTTTAATTTATATTTTACTGTGAGAGTGAAGAAAATCTGTAGACAATGAGTGAGCTTAATGTTCTTGATTTGCTGTGCAGTATTAGCATAAAGTTTCCCTGCTGCTAATTATACAAAATGGTGGTTTTGCTTCATCCCAGTGTTTCACAATGTTTGTTGCCTTTAGCTGTAGATTTATTCAGTTTTAGTTTTCATTGAGCAACATGATGTACACAACATGGCGTACCTGCTAACATTAGCATACCCTTTTTCTGCAGTTATAATAACGAGCAATGGTTTTACTTGGTTTATGTTTCCCAGTGTTATTTTACAGTGTTTGTTGATTTTTACTGCAATTTTATTCAGTTTTAATTTCCTTTAGGAATACGGAGTGGAGTGCAGATCAGTGGAGAAAACGCATCCACAGCATGTCGCGCTATCCAACATAATTTGTCCTGTCGTTGAATAAAGCACAGCTATTTGCCCAGCAGCAACCTATTCCTGTTCATTTTCAGCAATCTTGTTGTTAAATTAGATTTAGTGACTGTAGTTTCCACTTTAATTTCAGTTGTAGTTGTTCATGCGGAGTGGAGGACATATTAACTGCAACACAGGGTCCTGATCTGTTAGAAAGGATGATAATCAGAATGTGCGTGTTTAGTTGTCGTCCTCATCGCTGTCTCTCATGCTGATGCCCTGAAGGCCATCACCCGCTTTAACAGCTGCCGTGGCTTCCTCCACCGTCAGTCGATTGTAGATGGTCTCGTAGCTCTTGTTGTTCAGTGTGCCATCCAGGACGCCCTGCAGCCTGAAGTCACGGTAGGTCTTCTGTCAAGGTGGCAGAGTGGAGGGGGGAGGTAAAGGGAGGGGTAGAGCAAAAACAGAGAGCATCTTAGGAATGCAGCAAGCTGGAGGAGGCGGCTGCTGTTCATCGTTGGGAGAAACAAAAGCGTGAACACTGAGGCTCAAGGACGAGCTGAGTCTTTCATATGTTGGACTGGGAAGGCAGACTGAGGCATGAGAGGGGATTCTACCTTCAGTCAGAAGCTGTTATCATTCCTCGTCGCCTTGCTTTCAAGTAAAACTCGCATATCTCTGTACATTAGCAAAGACAAAGCATCAGGCAGCAGCACCAACACACAGTTGAGCAGTTTTCTCTTTCGTGTCTCGCCGCCTCTTCACACTGCTGCTGCTTTCAAGGACACGTCAGCTTGGTTTGATTTGTCTTTGTTTTTTCTTTTGTTTCAGTGTCAGTTCCGACTGTTTTTACATGAATAAGTCACAATTTAAAATGCTTTTTAATTAACTTTAGCCATTCTCAGACTCATTCACTGCCAGTCTTTTCAAACGGCAAAGAAAAGGAGACTTTGCATCTGGCAGGTAAAAGTAACTTGTCAGTCAGAATGACATTGTCCTTTTTGGAAATTTGCATGTTAACAAAATTATATGTATATATATATATTCAAAATTTTAAAAGAAGTTCTGGCCTCTTGTTTATTTCTTAAATATGTTTGTTTACCTTCACAATCTTGATGAGCGTTTTCAGCTGGTACGTGTGAAGCTGCAGGTCCAGTCGGTCTGTCAGCCAAATACACACCGCCTTCATGGAGCCAGTATACCATTGCTGTAAAAAACCAAAAAGATCATCACCTGAACTGTCAAGGTGTAAACACCCAACACAGCTACATAGATACCAATGGTGGGGTAGTTTTCCTGTACAATTATGGAATATTTTCCTCACTTCTATGAGTAGTTTTACCTCCAAATCATTTCACTTGGATAATCTGGTTAAACTGTTGGATTCTAACCTGTGCTACTCCTGACTGGTTGTGTGTCTTTACCTGTTCTGTTAGGCTTGTCACTGTGTTTCCAAACCTCTCAAAGAAAACAAATGGCCCAAGCTATGAAAATAAAAAAGTTGCAATAAACTGTAGTTTAAGGTATAATGGCCCCATAACAATATAATTCTCAAACTGCTTCCAAAATTCACATTATAATAAATTTAACTATCCACTGAAAACCATGAACCCTTTTACAAAGGCTGATTTGACTTTGTATTTGACTGTTGTATTTCCCATTCATATCTATACACTGTTTTCATGGGATGGAATCAAGTGGACATAAATTCAGCCTAATGCACATAAGCTTTGATTTTAATACGTAGCTGTGGCAACTCCTGATTGGAACTTACAGACACAAACAAATATTTGAATATACAGTTAAGCCCAAAATTATTCATACCCATACAAATTTTACAATAATATGAATCATTTTTGTGAGCAAAGAATTTACTTTGATTGAAGTAACATACAAAAGTTACAACAGGCGGTAAAGAAGCCCTGCAAAAGATATTTTATGGAATACAATCATTTTTGGTATTTTATTTCATAGATTTACAAAAATGTCATGGCCAGAATTAATACACTTGCTTTGTAATCAACTGCAAAGTCTTTGTTGGCAATCAGAGCCTCCAAACGATTCCTGTACTCAATTACAAGGTTTCTGCATGTCTCTACAGGAATGTTAGCCCACTTCTTTTGCGAAGGCCTCCAGGTCTTTGAGGTTGGAAGGGTTCCTTGCCATCACACAGGTTTTAAGTTCCCTCCACGGATTCTCAATTGTATTTAGGCTTGAACTCTGGCTTGGCCAGTCCAGAACATTTACATCGTTGCCCACGTACCATTTCTTCACTCTGGCAGCTGCTGATTCAGACTTTTAGCTGCCCAGAGCTCCTCCATGGCTGTTTGACTACTGGCTGGAAAAACCCTTCTTCTAACCTTGGCTAGGCGGCAGGCGGGGCTGATTTACAGACTTTGACAACACAGGGTGGAGGAGCTGGAATAACAACAGGGGGGGGGTTTGGGGGGGAGGGGGTGGGGGGGGGGGGGGTCCGCTGAGAGACACCACGTCCTCTCCCACTGTCACTTGATTATGTGGAAATCTTAGGTAATGTCCTTCAAAAGAAACCAGCTGAAAGCAGCTTCACTCAACATAAATAAAAAGTGTTAATGGTGTTACAGCTGCTCTGTGAACAAGGCTGGTCTATGGTTGTCATTCCTGTGTGTTCGCCTTCAGAGTTGATGATGATCATTGTTTTCTTTCTGACAGCTTATGAAATGTCCTCCATCAGTCATGTCGACAACACTACAACACAAGGTCTAAAGATGTGCTGCAACAAAATGGCAAAACTCAAAGAGGGTAAAACATTTACTTATTCAAAGACACCAATTCACTGGAAAACTCCTGAATGCTCCACGTCAAGGGAAGAGTTCATGGCTCTGCTTTGGGAAAAAAAAAAAATTCATCTTCTGGTGCCATCTAACTTTCATTAAACATTCTTCCTTTACACCCTCCACCACCAAACCACAGCTCCAGGGAACTCAAACACACCTTTTTTCACCTGAAGAGTGATCTTCACTTACAACTGCATTCAACGTGCTGCTAGTAAAATGCACACATTGGGTGGCTTTATTCAGTTAATCAAACAAGAATGCTCAGGGAAATTGCTCTGACACAGTAATGACCCATAATATTCAGATCTGCTTTAAGAGCCGCCGGCAGACTTAATTTCACACTGACAAGAACTGTAATTACCTTCTGATTTAAGAGAGGAAAACAGTCCAAAGGTCATTTCATGCACTTGACAAAAGCCAAAACACATGCGTGATAATTCAGTGGTCGTGCTAATGTTTGATTCCATCTATTGTGAGAGTGGCCTCTGATCACCTTCACACTGCCTCCTTGTAATTATATTAAACTAATGAAGCGTTTTTTACTTATCTAAGTAGAAATGTACCAACTAAATGTGAGACAATGCATGTTAACTTACAAGTGAGGGTTCAAGTTTAATCATAGGTCCTGATTTTATTTCTTTGCTGCCCAGACAGAACAAACACAGAAGGTTAGGAAACATCTGAAGTTACCAGCCGCTCACACGCTGGGCGGCTTTTCATAAATCATTCTGAAACAGAATTGAACAGCTTTCAGTTTGTTTTTTTAATTCCAGTGCGCTTAGTGAAGCATGATTTCCAAAGGCAGCTGTCACAAATTACACAGATCAGTTACTTATGTATGGCAGTTTTTTTGTTTTGTTTTACTGGTATGTCTTATGGCTGATCAGGCTCTCTGGTGTCACTGAGCTTTCTGGGCTCCCTTTCTGCCACCCTCTGTAACGTGGAGGGGAAACCAATATAATCTCGAGTCCATAAAGTAAAACACTGGACTATTTCTTCCACATGGACTATTTTTGTCCAGCACATTTTGTTCACCCAGGCAGATATCTGTTCTCATGACAAAGACGGTGAATGGAGGTCGGAGTTGGTCACATCTTACTTTTATTGATACAAGTAAAATCAGCTGTTGTTGAATCTTTCTAATTTGGCTGTTCACATTAAGACATGGTGTGTAATTTTACGTTTACTTTTTATGGCTGAAAACAAAATAGGAAAACAAAGTGATTGTCAAGTGTATTTATGTATTTTAACTAGTGAAAGGAATGTAAGAGTTTAGAAGTTATATTAAACATTTCTTTTATATACAGTGGTGTGAAAAAGTATTTGCCCCCTTACTGATTTCTTATCTTTTTGCATGTTTGTCACACTGTAATGTTTCAGATCATCAAACAAATTTAAATATTAGTCAACGATAACACAAGTAAACACATCATGCAGTTTTTAAATGAAGGTTTTTATTATTAAGGGAAAACAAAATCCAAAACTACAAAGCCCTGTGTGAATAAGTGTTTGCCCCCTAAACCTAATAACTGGTTGGGCCACCCTTAGCAGCAACAACTGCAATCAAGCGTTTTCGATAACTTGCCATGAGTCTGCCACAGCGCTGTGGAGGAATTTTGGCCCACTCATCTTGGCAGAATTGTTGTAAGTCAGCCACATTGGAAGGTTTTCGGGCATGAACTGCCTTTTTAAGGTCATGCCACAGCATCTCAATTGGATTCAGGTCAGGACTTTGACTAGGCCACTCCAAAGTCTTCATTTTGTTTTTCTTCAGCCATTCAGAAGTGGACTTGCTGGTGTGCTTTGGATCATTGTCCTGCTGCAGAACCCAAGTTCGCTTCAGCTTGAGGTCACAAACGGATGGCCGGACATTCTCCTTCAGGATATTTTGGTACACAGCAGAATTCATGGTTCCACTTATCACAGCATGTCTTCCAGGGCCTGAAGCAGCAAAACAGCCCCAGACCATCACACTACCACCACCATATTTTACTGTTGGTATGATGTTCTTTTTCTGAAATGCGGTGTTACATATACGCCACACATAATGGGACACACACCTTCCAAAAAGTTCAACTTGTGTCTCTTCTGTCCACAGACTATTATCCCAAAAGTCTTGGGGATCATCAAGATGTTTTCTGGCAAAACTGAGACGAGCCTTTATGTTCTTTTTGCTCAGCAGTGGTTTTCGTCTTGGAACTCTGCCATGCAAACCATTTTTGCCCAGTCTCTTTCTTATGGTGGAGTCATGAACACTCACCTTAACTGAGGCAAGTGAGGCCTGCAGTTCTTTGGATGTTGTTGTGGGGTCTTTTGTGACCTCTTGGATGAGTTGTCGCTGCGCTCTTGGGGTAATTTTGGTCGGCCGGCCACTCCTGGGAAGGTTCTCCACTGTTCCATGTTTTCGCCATTTGTGGATAATGGCTCTCACTGTGGTTCGCTGCAGTCCCAAAGCTTTAGAAATGGCTTTATAACCTTTTCCAAACTGATAGAGCTCAATTATTCTCTTTCTCATTTGGTTTTGAATTTCTTTGGATCTCGGCATGATGTCTAGCTTTTGAGGATCTTTTGGTCTACTTCACTTTGTCAGGCAGGTCCTATTTAAGTGATTTCTTGATTGCGAACAGGTGTGGCAGTAATCAGGCCTGGGTGTGGCTAGAGAAATTGAACTCAGGTGCGATAAACCAGTGTTGTGACAGGGGGGCAAACACTTGTTCACACAGGGCTATATAGTTTTGGATTTTATAAAAGACACACACACACACACACACACACAGACTGAGTGTGAAACAAAGAGCGTTATCCAAGTTAGGCACATCAATAATTTTACACTGACCCCCCCGTTGCCCCCGATGGTTAGAGCCATCGGTTGAGGTGGCGCCACAGATGGCTGCCATCGGTTCTGTACCGGAAACAAATTCCTTGTGCGTAACATACTTGGCCAATAAAGGTGATTACTATACTTTTCAGAAAATAAAGTGCTGAAGCACATGACCCTTTTTGTTTGCTCAGTTTTAACACACTTTGTGGGTTAATGCTTCTATATTGCTTTCATTTCTTTTGATTGATGTTAAGACATAATGCAAAGCACTGAATAGCCTTTAGTTTGAACTAAACAGATAAACTTGTCTAATGTGCTGTGTGTCATGTATATAGTTTTTCTTCTATTCTGTTTGGAAAAAAAACTGGGAACTCCAGGACAGTTCCAGTCATTCCCGGTCTGTGGCACATTTCCTCTCCCTCCTCACTCTTCACTAAACATTGTTACGCTGGGATCAGGGCTGGGATCAGCTCACCTGACAATCGCCTCGCACTCTGAGTTAACAGATGCTCCAAGATGTTTAAATTAAAAGAAGATATTTCCTGCCCCTGTGATGATTTCTCCTCATTTCTTCCTTCCCTTCCTCCTCCTCCCTCTTTCCACCTGCTTAGTGAAATATTTATTTAGACTCTGGGAGCCGAGTTTCCTTTGAGCGGCTAATCAGCTGCCTCGCCGGCCACGTTAACTGTCTGGGAAATTGAGTACGAAGGCTCCTTAATTGAGCCGATTAGAGGATGAGAGTGAAAACAGATGGAGAGAATCTGTGGGGGAAGGAGGGTGGAGAGTGGTCTCCTCAGCACGGTGGGTCTGCGTTAGTCCTGTCAGTAAAATGTTTCCATTTAAATACGTGACACATATTCTGGTGTTCAGATAATAAAACTGGACTTTTGTTAAAATGAAGTGCAATTTTAACCATTAAAATCTTATTTTAAGTGCTAGAATTAACTCCTAAATTATATAAAAAGGTTGGCGAGGTTAAATTATTTTCATTTGTATTTGTCAGCTTCCTTGATTTCAGTGCAAAAATGTGTCTTGTTTCAAGATGCTCACTTTAATTTCAACAAAATTCCTGAATGTAAATAAAAGCTCTGAGTTCCAAGCTCCTAAAATTAAGTGTGAAGATTGTGTTCTCTCAGAGTGAATACAGGCTGTCTTATTTCAAGACGCTGACTTCTAGAAATGTCCTGACAAGTGGCACAATCTCAGACACTTGATCTTCTTTTCAACACAATCTTGAAGGCTGAATGTGAGATGGCTTCTTGTTAACAGATCCATGTTTCTTGTTTCATCCTGTGAGCTGGTGATTTGGCTCCTAATGTGAAGAGGATGGAGCTGTGTGTGTGTGTGTGTGTGTGTGTGTGTGTGTGTGCGCGCGCGTGCGTGAGGGCATGTATCACACTCTTCATCCACACAAAGACGCCCCCCCGGTGAGCACTTGTACACAAACAGGCACGTGATGTGAACATGCACATGCAGAAAAAAAAATTCCAGCTGTGTGCCCACGCCTGGGCTGCATCTCGTTTCTCGTCTCTGTAACAGCCTTGTTCTTCTTTATATTTGCCCATCGACAAACCTACTGTTTAAAGAAATGGCACCATAAACGAATTTGTCTTGGGCTCACTCAGACCCACGTAAATAAGACAAATGCAATCCCACAATGCTCCTGGCAGGGGTCCCGATGCTGCTGTATGAACATGGGGTTTACTTTCTTTGTCACACACAAACTGTATGTTGAAGGGCTGAGTGGAGCCACTTTGAGGCCCTGCCGTCACCTCCTCGGTGCATGACCGGGCGCTTCTGAGCTCCATTAGACTCATTCTCAGTAACCCTCCCCTTCTCTAAACACACACAAATCAGCACAATGTAGCTTGAACCACTGCCATGATACTCCGAACCCCCAGAGGCAGCGGCAGGCTGCAGAAATCCATCGCTGGGTCCGTGCTGCTAATGTACATGAAGGTCTGAGCCGTCATGTCTGCTGCACCGACTCACGGCGGTGAGCTGAGGCGTGTTTGACAACTCCGCTAAACTATTCTTATAAATCTGACTTGTGGAGGGGCGCAGCGCACAAAACGGACAGTGTGGGTTGCAGGGATGGAGAGATGGATGTAAAGGTGGAGGTGCGAAGGGGTGTTTTCAGCTCCTGTGGAGCCAGCCGACACCTCTCCGTGTTTCCTAAGTGATAAACAGGTCAACAGAAGCGACCCGCTGCTGCGGAAACTGGAAAATCAAACTCGCACCAACAGTGTAAACACCCGACTGCGAGCTCCATTTGTAAAGCTCTGTATAAGCTGAGTGCTTTCACATAAGCATGTGCAGTATATCATGTGAAAAATTCACATTTGACACTTTTTATATCTGAGTTTCTAGGTAAACTTTATCACTGCTTCACCCTGTGGTTCTTCATGGAACTACAGGGACAATAAGCAGGAAATGGAGACCAGACAGAGAGGACGACAACCACTGGGAGCCACAGTGGGGGGAGGAAACAACAGAGGTTGAGAAGAGAGGATGTGACTGGAAACCCTTAAAAATGACAAAATTAAAATGGAAAGCAGCAGGTAAAAAGTTGCTTAGCATCCTAAATGTGTTTGTAGAAGGTTGTGGCTCATGTTTCATGTTTTTATCTTATCACATCTTAAGTCAAGAATAAGGCAATTACGTTGATTTGTTTATCCTGTATATTTTTCCATTCTCATTTTGTATTTTACGTCAAGAAAACTTTTTTTTTTTTTTCAAATTTTATACAGATTGAGTTTAGAAAGTAGATGTTTGAGGGCTGTAGCTATGGCACTGGGCTTTCTTATCCTCAGTTTTGGAGATGTTATTTGTCCAGCCATAAGTAGAGTTACATTTCCTATGTTCACTTGCATGAACACCACAGGTGTGCTCAATTTGAAGTCAGCACAACCTTTAAGATCTCAAACCTTTGTCCCAGTCAGATTTCTTTTACAACAAGAGCGAGCACTCACATCAAACACCTTCTCGATGTAGAGTTCATTGTTGACGCGGTCTCGGAGGATGTCCTGGTTCTGCCGTACAAAGGTGATGTAGGTGTCGGCCAGATCCATCCCCGGTTTCTGAAGGGGGGCAGAACACAAACAGGCCTGAAGAAGGGTGGAGGCTGAACATGGAGAACAGTGTCCGACATTCACAGTAGCCTGGTGTTAAAAATGTGAACATGCATGGTATTTATGGTGCACATCTCACTTCACCCATGCTGTTCATAAGACCTGGTGGTACATGATGATGTCTGCACGTTATCATGTACAACAGGGAAGCCTAAAATGTTTCATTGCAGTGAGATGGAATATAATGACAACAGGAAGAACTAAATAAAAATAACCTGTTTCCCCACAGAAATGTACCAAGCCTTTGTGTGGTTTTGTTAACAATAACAGTGGTTTACAGCCCAACAACACAGGGACCAATGTTCAGCATCACCTGCTGCTTGCTGTGTGAACACAAGACAAAACTAATTTACCTTCCCTGTGTTGGGAGTAACAAGCAGCTGTTGGAGCTGTTAGACCAGAGGAAACAAACTGCTGTGGCAGCAGCGGCTTGTTGGGCGGGCAGAGGCCAGATCAGGGGATGTGAGTAAACCCTCTTCATTCACCCTCCCTGTTGTCAAGGGAGATTACAACTGTAATACTTATTGTAATTGCTTTGACATCTTTCACACCCGTTTTCTCTAAGTCGGCATGCGTGGGCCCCGAGGGGGTTGTTGTTCTGCTACAGCGCTGCTGAGCACGACATGTCGGGTCCCCCGTGGAAAAACAAGGAAACGGAGCCTCAGGAAACCTTTTGGCTTCACTTAAAGGCAAAAGGCAGGTTGGACACAGATTACAAATTTGGCATTGTAACCTTTTGCTCAACAAAAACAACTCAAAGGAAACACAAACTGTCACATGCTAATGTCAGAGGGAATAAAAACCGGACCATCGAGTCGCCTCCGTCACAAACAGCATCAGGTTCCTACATTTGGGTTTCTTATTTTGACAAGCAAAGAGGCAGCTGTGGGGAAGTGGACAAGCCAGGGAGCAGACAGACAGCTCCCGCTCTCCACAATGTCTCACTGCAACAGAGGTGACTGACAGTTTGAGATTCCTCAATAACATCTGTGGTACGTAAGTGCAAATAAACGAACCGGAACCGCTGTCTAAGCACAGAAGTCAAGCTCTACATTTGTACTGGGGTGAGGGTTTGAAAGGTCATGTTTGACTGCAATGGTACACACAGATCAGTGCCCAAGCTGAAATAAGCTAATGCATCAATTAGCTGACAGTAAAGTAATTTTGACAGTCAATTGTCACTTCATGTAGTAGTTAGTGCTGTCGCCTCACAGCAAGAAACCAGGTTTACCCAGGGCCTTCCTGTGTGGACTCTGCATGTTCTCCCTGTGTGGGTTCTTTCTGGGTACTCCGGCTTTCTCCCACAGTCCAAAGACATGCAGATATAAAGAGTGATAGTGAGAGTGTGTGTGTGTGTGTGTGTGTGTGTGTGTGTGTGTGTGTGTGTGTGTGTGTGTGTGTGTGGTTGGTTGTCTTAGTGTCAGCCCTGTGATAGACTGGCGACCTGTCCAGGTAGACCCCGTCTCTCGCCAAGTGTCAGCTAGGATTGGCTTCAGCTCCCATATTCAAGATAAGCTGTATAGATAATTGATGGATGGATGAACTGTCCTTTATTTCTAAAGTACATAACTAGATCATTCCCTGGTTGTAACATGCAGCTTTTTCTGTTTGTGTGTTCTAGAAACATTCAACATGGGGCAGCGTAACCTGTCTGACAGCTATGATGACAACAGTCTCAGCAGTTGTTTCAGAGGGCTCTAACAGCGAGTGACAGTCCGGGATCAGTCAGAGGCACCAGGCTGTAATTCAGACGGACCACTGGATGAGAAAGCCTGCAGATTCCGGGGGTTAAAGTAGGGTCACGTGGCTTCAGGGGGATCTGTGTGTCTAATGTTTATCCAGAGAGAGGAGGGGTCAGGCCCAGTGACTGACAGGCCTGTCCGATTCCCCATGATGCTCTGTAGTGGGTGGAGAGGTGAAGGTGTAGAAGATCAAGGACCACTGTCAAAACCTTGATGAGAATTAACCACGCGTGTATTACTTGTTGGCATCGGCCCCTCACAGACCGGTAACAATAAACATGGAGGAGAGCAACGACAGCGATGGGGTCAGTGGAGAGACTAGGACGCTTCACATGGTGGACATTTGTGGAAAAGCTTCTGATCAAGCCAAACTGGAAGAAACATAACCCAGCGGTTTGGAAGGAAATTGGGCCATTTAACCGTCGCACACACGACCTGGTTGTTATTCTTGTGCGCACATGGCTCACATTTCAGTTAAAGGATAGGTTTGAGATTTTTGAACTTGGTCTTAAAACAATATTGATGCGCCCATGTGTACGTGAGAATAGGTCTTAGTAGCTACAAGTTTTCCTACTCTCCACACCGGCCATGACAGTTTCCACCCTTAAGGCGACTACACTGTAGGAAATGGGCGACAGCGTAAAAATGTGCTCCAAAGAGTCAATATCTTTTTAAAGGAACAGTCTAGTTCCCCACCAAGCTACAGCGGAGGGATACGTTCTAGTAGCACTGTGTTTACTTCGCAGGCTATGCTTAGAGTTAACTTTAAGTGAGTTTGCAGGTTTCATAGTTGGTGTATTTTTGCAGTGTGTAGTTTTGCGACACCAGTAAAACCTGTTTCTGAGTCTATTTTGTGTGTGTGACATGTCAGAGTCGTTCCAGCCTCATCTGCACCTTGTAAGTACAAGAACTGGTTTGTCTGTGTTTAACACACTGGGTGTTAGAACAAGTGATGGGCAAAAGCATTTTACCGATTTCACCTGAGAGACCCTGACAAGACTAAGCTGTAGCCAACAGTGGTGAAAGAACCTGCACAAAGCCTGGACCTCATCCTGATCAGCACCTTTGGGATGAACTGAAAGGCCCAGACCTCACCAACACCAGGGCTGGGCCTTCGCTCATGCAACAGCAGATCAGTGTTTATGGTTTTGGAATCACATGTTCAGTTACCACATATGGGGTCAATGTGTTGTGTCCAGAAACTTTAGTAAATTCTCCATACGAGGACAAGTAATGTGAATTTGGATGGTAACAGTTATTAAACTCAACTTTTAAAAATATATCTGTACAAATGTGGCACAAAATCTGTACTGTAACATTTAAGTGTGTGTGTGTCACTGGTAACATATCATTGCCCCTGCTGTCACTTGAGACATCAGTTTTCTCCTTCCCACCCCCTTAAGGCTTAGTCCCAATCCTTTACCTGTTTTCTCTTATTCCGACTAGGTGACAAAGCAGCACGAGTGATGGCGGCACAGTTCCAGCCACTGAGATTAAGGCATGAACACGACAGAAAAGAAAGACAAACAAAAACCCCCCACATATAAGCAGCTCAGTGCTCTTGTCACGCTCTGCCCTCCCTGCTTGTTTTGTCTCCTCCACTGTTTCTTCACTTGTAGCCAAACACCACTAATCCCCTGCGCGCCCGGATAATGGCGGCCAGGTTACTCAACATTTGACAGCATAAAAACTGAGTGTAAAATGAAGCAATGCTCAAATACAGACAGGGAGGGGTAGAGGCCTAAAGTGGCAGGACGGAGGAGAGGCCTGCTGATAATGAGCGGTTAGCAAGGGAAGAGGGCAGTGAAATGCCAGGTAATTACATACTGCTACCGCCCCATTTCCTGTCTGGGATTAATTTCAATTCTGCCAGGTGCACACTGTGTGTGTGGAAATATGTGTTTGCATGTCGCAGCATTAAGTGCCTCTGTAATTTAAAATAACTATGTTAATGATGCATAAATACAGGGGAGAAAATATCGACTCACTGTCAGTTCACTGTGAATGTTTAACTGTTCATGCAAGCCGTTAAACGTAAGATAAAGGATCTCATGGATCCACAGCTGCAGCCACGAGTCAGTTCACTGGTAGAAAATGAACCTCAGCTATTTAGAAGCAACAGTCATCGACATGTTCTGGTTCCACCTTCTTTAATGTGAGGAGCTGATGCTTTTCTTTGTCAGACATGAGAATCAGCTGAGTCTCTGTGGATCTGCTGGTTGAACACAACAAGACGTGTGGAGACGCCACCTTTGGCTCTGGAGAGTCACAGTGGGACTTCTTACCAGTGTCTGACATTCTGGGGACAAACAGATCAATCAGATCATCAGGACGATGATCAGCTGATTGATCAGTGGCCCTGCTGGTTGGGTCCCCACTCAGTCAGGAGGCTTCTCTCATTTGTCACCATCTACATTATATGTAGAGTCTCAGCGTGCCTGCGTCGAGAATTTATCACATGCAAATTGTATGAAAATTACATTTTTACATCTTATCCTCCATATAACCTTTAGCACGTGACAAACTAAAATGCCATTTTTCATGATGGCAATTTAATCTGGTGTCCAAAACAGAAGAGTGCATGGATATTAAAGCACACGTTAGGTGAATATGTTGCTCATTACAGCCTTAGTTTCTTATTTCCAAAATTTCATGTAAAACTTACATAGTGCAAGAGCAAAAGAGAAAAGATCTTTCTTTAGTTCCTGGGAAAGAGAAAGGAACGGCAGGTAAACTGTTTTACCATAAGAGAGTCAAACAACGATTTGTTCTTGGGGCATCTGTTTTTACTACACAAAAACGGTTGGTCGGAGTCAAACCGTGGACATTGCGTATACGTGGTCGACGGACCCATCGACACCCAGAGCTCCTCAGGCAGGAGTTGGTTAATGTTTTGAAACAGTGCATGGCCCTGCAGGATGGTGTTGTGTTGAAGATGGTGAGGAGCCAGTGATGATGATCGCTCTTCCAACGTTTGTGTTCCTGCTCTGCCAGTGTGCATATGTGTGATGTGAGCATATGCGCCTGTCAGTCACTGGTATCTTGGCTGTACAGGCAAACACGTCAGTGCTGAACACGTGCGAGTCAGTGTGAGAAACACATGGAGCCACTCTGAGTCTTTACCGTGTCGGTGCTGCATCGTAACAGTACTGGTAAAGGTTTGGTACTGAAAGTTGTAACCAAGTTCAAATCAAGTATTACAGTATTTCTTCTGAATGCTGTGAATACTGAAAATTCTCCATAGGGGAATTATTTAAGGAGTGCTGTCTCTACCGCCTAGAGAACACCTCAAAGTTCAAGCTGAAAAACATTCCTACTAGCATCAGCAAAAAGTTGATGGGTGGCTAAAGTTTAAAAGTTGAATTTGTCAGGTAAAGTACAACATTCCCCTCTGAAATGTAGTGAAAGAAAAGCAGAAAGTCTCTAAACACTCCAGGGGAAAGCTTCATCTGTTCGTGACAAGGTGCGTGGGCAGAGCCGTCTGGCGAAGGAGCTCTGAGGCCCCGCCCCCTGCTCGTCATCCCACCTGGAAAAGAGGCTTACCTGCGTCAGGTTCCCTTCACACAAAAGACCAAACGGCCAAGGTAGCAGTTACACTATAATTTCAGGGGTGGAGGCGACTGAAGGGGAAGTCTGGATGTGAACCAGAGAGCATGATGGGATTGGTGGGAGGTACCGTGGCAGGGCAGAGGATTAGGGAGGTTAATTGAGGTTGTTGTGTCAGTGCAGGATAGTCTTACGTCTGCTGTTTTCATCAAACGCAAAGTGTACAATACAGAAGCATGTGTTTGAGGGCCAGGAAAAACACAGTTTTAGAATATTCTTACTAATTCATACCTATGAATCAAGAACTGAATGACTTAAAAATGCTTTTATTATTTCATACATAGTTTCCATGTCTGCTGAGAGGATCTCAGAACTTTAATTGGCTTTGATTCAGTCGTAAAATGAAACAAACGCAGGAGCAAGATGAACTGTCCAAGTACTTCGACAGTACTCGAGGGATTGTGGGTGGAAGTGTGTGACGTTTTGGTGAAGTGTTGTTTCAGTGGCACGCTGCCGGGGGATTTAAATTTTAACACTGCTCAGAAGAAACAGAATCCATGACAATAATCATTAACATGTTGGTCAGAAACATGCACATCCCTGCTCTGGTCATCGCTCACTGTGGCTGTAAAAGTGTTGATGTTACTGGTACGCAACGCATTGCCGATGTGTGTTGTACGTGCATGGTTATATGTCACGCTGGACATCACGTTCAAGGATAAAGTCCGTCATTTTCTATATTTTCAACAATCCCCAAACCGACTAAACTTCAAACAACCGTAACTTTTTACAGTATCTGTATGGTGTCTGTGTGCGAGCTCTCTGCTGCGTTTACAGTCCGCTAGCTCCTTGCACTCTCACCCATGTGCAGTTGACTCTTGCGTACGTCAGACTCTGTAAAAGGTTCTGATCATTTGGAGCTTTTGAGGCAACATTTTTAACAAATTTGCAGATCTGGTGTTAGGTAAACATGTCACCCAGTGCAGCGGTGTGTTTCACTGATGTGTTAATTAAATTTTTTTTTTTAACAACAATGGAGGTCTACGGTACAGAAACAAGCTGAGCTAGGCTGAAGACAGACACATCAACTGTATGGTGATTGTTTAAAGTACTATTATTACAGAAAATGACCAACCATCCTTCAAGTGCCTCTAACACAAGTTGGCATTACGCTGTTTTTTTAGTTCAGTGTATACTGGCAAAGCTGCCATAATAAAGGGCCAGCTTAATGCCAGTACAGCTTTATCTGTCTAAACAAGGGAAGCAGACAAAGCCAGGCTAGCCATTTCCCATTTCCAGTCATGACTGTCCTTCTGTAGAATATGAGCGTATACGTTGTTTCTGCCAGCAGGTTATTACAAGGAACTGTTACTTGTTATAGTTTGTCAACATCTAATGACCATATCAATTATTACACAAGGAGAGCCTAGTTCAATTCCAGTATGTGGCTTGTATCAAAGCCTAAATGAGCACTTTGTCTAAACATAGCCAAATGTTTTCTGTAGCAAAACAAAATTAAGCCATGATGGTTTTATAATGTAATGTTATATTTATGACAGTTTCCAAGATGATAGAGTTCCAGTAGCTTGCTGCTCACTAGCCTGTTAGCTAGCCATCGTGTGTATGGCTGTGTCCGTGATGATAAAAGTCCACAAAGCTTGGTAGTTCAACATATGTCGTCGTTAACATTGGTGGAATTGTTGCAATTCCTTCTGTGACCGTAGGAGCGCTATTTAATGAGATGAGTCATATGAGACAGAAGTGGTGTTGCTCCAAGGCCAAAGCATCTGTAACATTAATGAAGATTTACTCCAGGTCTGAGACAGAACCTGAAATCTGTCCGATGTGTCACATGATGTGTTCTTCACCCAGAAAGGACACACTACTGGCTAAGAAGTGAAATTATCTACTGAGAGCATCCAGATTATTTACCGTCTTTTTTATTATAGGAGTCAACATTTCATTACAGCCCAATTAACCCTAGTATGAAAGGAAAAACAATTTTCACTTTTCCTTTTCTATGTATTAATTTTCATTTTGGGTGTAGTTGGCCGCCACAGTGTTTTGGACAAACTGATTTTGAAATATCGTTAGTCCCAGTGGATGCTCTTAAAAACTGTTCATATTCATATTAAAGAGATGGAAAACATGCAAAAACCCAAATCACAGAGGAACTGTACTTTGTTAATTTTGAGCTCTTAATCACTTTAGCAGACGAGGGGTCACTCCATCTCAGAGATCTAATTCTGAAACCTCTCCCTGCTTCACACCTCCAACATCGCCAAACGTTAACGCCTTATCACCTCGACACTGTAACTCCTGCATCGTACACGTCGCTGTCTCCTCCTCCCGCTGGCCTCGCTGCAGCCTCTGATCTTTGCCACGTCGCCGTCATTCATTAACTACTCCACATCCAAACGCCACCGCCGCCCACAAACAGACACCAGCAAAACTCATCTCCAAGGACAAGAGTGCAATTAATTAGGCTTGTTGTGTGATCTTTGGCTCTGGAGCTGCAGATGGAATAAAAACCCTCTTTATCTTTCACACGTTTAACACTGTGTGATCACAAACTTAAAAAAAACAACAAAAAAAAAACATACACACACACACAACAAGCACATGACTGAATGCAAAGACTGGCTGCTTTGCATTTCCAGGCTGCTTTAATTTTCACCCGATGCTTCGACTGACTGAATGCGGATGAAAACAAAAATATGCAGAGCGACGCCGACGGGCAGGGTGAACAATAAAACAGCAGGCAGATCGATGGACTCACAGGGGCTTCCACATATTTGGCAGCTGCTTTCACCTTTCAGGGGGAGGCAGCAGGAGGAGGAGAAGAAGAAGAATGACACTGAAGTTCAGCTGGGAAGATCTGGTTTCCAGCAAATAACAGGTTGCCTCTGTGAACGGTGAAAGAAACAGCTCGGCGCTCTCTGTTTCCAGGAACAAAAACATGGCTACTCACTGTGAAAGAGAGGATTGAAGAGAAGAATGTCCCTTCATCGTATCTCGAGAGCTTGGAGAGGACGCCGTCTAAAACACCGGCAAACTGCAGACAGAGGGGGAGACACAAGAACCAATTACTGCCTTCATCTTCCCTTCATTTGCAGCTTTTAGAAACTTTTGATCCTGCGGAAATATTCTCTGAGTCTGTCTGTAAACGAGTCCTTAACATTTTACTTTCTAAACAAAAGAGTAAAAAAGTGGCAGAACAGGATGAATATTTTAACTTGTTTCATCCATTTATATAAAATCAAGTGATACTTTTATTGATATTAAGTGACCAACTTTATTCTGTCATCTCAATCCAACAACCTAATTTGAAAATTATTTTTAAAAAAAGCAGCAAGACCAAAGCTTAGCTAAATAACAAATAAAAATAATCCTAAAAATTAAAATAGCCTAAATGAAAAAAGCTGAATTAAAATAGTAATTAATAAGTCCATAAAAAGTGAATAAACCCATAATGTCACTAAGAGAAAAAACACTATTTTTAAAATAATAATAAAAAAATAAAATAATAAAATAAAAGAAAAGATACTTAAGAGTAACTATATTAATATGTAAAAAAAATCCCTCAAAAAGAAAAGAAAAACAATGAAAAAAAAATCCATCAAGGAAAAAAAAAATTCTAATAAACTCCATTATAATTTCTAGTTAAGCTTAACTGCCCTGTAAAAAAATTAAATACAAATTGAAGCTAAAGACTTAACAATGAAAGTGTCCCTATCAAGAAAAAGGAATATAAAAACAAATATGAAAACTGTCAAAAAAAAACTAAACAAAACTTAGGATCTGACTGAAGGATAAATAAAAATTTACCTTCGAGACAAGTGAGGAAATCATTTCTTTGTAATTTATTATTTTCAGAAAAATACAAAAAGGCTAAAACTGACTCCTCGCCTCCCTGATACTGAACAGCAGTATTGTCGGTGCTGCAAAAGACAGAAAGAAAAACCCACAACACTTGGTATGAACATAGAGTCTTCACGCGCATGTACACACACACGCACACACACAACCCTCCTGACACAGTGAGGCGTGAAAAACCTTCCCATCTGTGTAACGCTGCCGAGTTAAGCAGCTAATAGGACCATTATGTGGCTGAAAGACATTCCCGTCCGCACTGGAAAAGCGAAGGAATCTGAAGGATACTTTTTGTGCGCCTCCCTACAATTAGAGCAGCCTTGTATTTCTCTAAAGCACCGGTCCAGCTGCGAGGACCAAAGGCTCACACGAGATTCAATTAATCCGCCATTTCATGTCTTGTTTGGCCCCCCCAAAACATATTCATGGCACCTTTTCCCTTGAAGGAAGGGGAGAAAAAAGGCCGGTGCTGAGAGCTGAATGGCAGCAGCAGCAGGGGAGTTCATCTCCTGGCGACAATGCCCTTTCACTGGCCGTCTAAAAAACACCCAAATTAAAAATTTCAATCAACAAAGCGCACAGATCGCTGACAAATTGAGGGTCCAGGGAGGTCACCCTAATTTTGTTTTTTCCCTCCACAGGTCCACAAAATGGGAGCTCTCTTTCTACTCTGCGATTCTTCTTGACAAATCTTGAGAGCTTTTCTTTTTTCCTCTTCTTACCTCAATTAACATTGCTGCTTTTGTCTTCTTTCTTTCTACAAAGGCAGCCGTAAAAATCAGAGCAGAGAAGGAGAAATAGTTTGGTCTTTGCCATGTGTGCAGCAAAAACTGAAAAGAACAATTATTGCTTTTAAAAACACTTATGTGGTTGCTGAGCTGCAGCCGCTACTGCTCCTCGAGCTCTGCGAGGTTTCTGAGATTCTGCTCCGGGTCCCATGTTCAACACGACCCCCAGACAACATTTAAATGACCCCAGCAACAAAAAGACAGCAGACAAATTAGCATTTTCATTGATTTCAGTTGATCACCCCAGTTTAACAGGGGTCTGCGACAGCACAGTTTATTAATTTAGCAGAAGAGTTTCTCGCCTGGATTAAACTATCAGATTATTCACATCATCCTGCTCGCCCACCAGCTGAACTCCACACCAGGGAAACCTGGCCACAGTTTTCCCCAACAACGAGAAGGAGAAGAGGGGCGGCAGAGTTTGTCAGTAGTCTCTTCTACACTGCCTGATCAAGGCGGGATTATTGCGCCTTATTTGCCCCCATGCCATTGTTTAAAAGGTACCAAGATGGGCATGTGGGGTCAGTGTTGACCCTGTATTCTGCCACCAGAGGCAATAAAACTGGCACAGCAGTTCAGCTCGGCCTCAGTGTGAAAGGGGAGAGGCATCTTGTAGGGTTGTGAAGTTTTGATTGAATTTAAGTTCTAACTTTGCTCGTTATAAAGAGACTGTGACCATAATCGTTAACATGTTGTACAGTGTGCACAACAACAGTGAGTATGAAGCATGTCGTAAGTGCGGGATGAGCAAAAGCACATCTCTGCTCTGCTGACCTGACGCAGTGTTACCAGCCTGAGCTGTATTTACAACGTGCGCTACATTTATACACACAGTTGTGTTTCCCATTAAACCTCATGCCAATATAGAGGAATCTGTCTAGTGGGGAATCAGAAGTAGTCGACTGCTTTGCTGCAGATCAACTGGTGGCAGAAAACTGACCACCCAAAGGTCAGACTCATGTCTCTGCAAGACCCTTCAGACCTCTGGTCAGGGGTCAGAGATCAGGAGGCCATATTCACAGTATCTACTAGTGACTGAACATGCATCAGCAGAAGCACACTCCAGGGTGTCTGCTGATATGTTTTAAGACCACAAAAACAGACCTGATAAATTGAAGCTTCACAGTGTGGACCAACCTAGAAGACTGAGCAGAGACCAGGGCTGCATGTCAGACCCTGGTCAGCATCTCCAAGTAACCTAGGTAATACCTGCTAGAGGCACATTTCCTGCGACAGATCGCTCTGCGTTAACCACGACACTGACATGTGTGCCCAGTGCTGCACTGTGCAGTCACTCCTGTGCAGAAAAGATGAAGGTCAAACTGGATTTTGTGCTGCATTCACTCGAGATGGGAATTTTCACAGTGAACCTTTAGGCTGGAACAAACTTGTAACTGAAGTTTCTACTGAGGACCATGTGCAGGTGTGATAGGCTACATCTTAGTAAACCTCAGTGAAAACAGACACTGAGGTGCATAACTGTTACAACATTAAATGGTGATGATGTAGGCAAATATGTATTTCATCATATCTTTGTCAGTTTGTGCCAGATAGCAAACCTGACCTTTGCTGCAAGTCAATTTTGTCACTAGTCTGTTGTGGCTTTCTCTCCCATTTCACCTGAAGGCACCACAGGATGTTAAAAGTTGTTAAAGGAAAGTAAATGAAAATGAGAGTGACTGAACACAATGGTGAGTTAAGTTTAAATTACACTTTACTTCAGCTGGTGCCCGAGGCTGCAGATCTTTAAAGTCACTTTTTATTTCTGCAAGTTCTTTAGGGGCAAAACGTAAACATATCCCAACCTCCTCAGTGTTATGCAGAAATAAATGGTAACTTTATTAGTAGATCGCCGAGATTCTCTCCATATATGGAACATAATATCAGCTCTACTTCTTGTTCCTGAATTTGTTCCCAAACTACTGTTGCAGCCCATGAATCCATAGCCGCCTCCGACTGATCCCCACCCAGAAAAGAAGCACAAGGACACAAAGTCTTGTTTAAAGCATGATGTCAGCTCTCTTTTAGATATACATGTATTAATGGTTGTAGATTTGTCAGTGCAGGCTGCAGCTCCTGCTGAGGTTAAATACTTTGTGTTGACCGATGCCTGTTACTTTACAGATTCATTATAGAATCTATACTTACTTTCTCGCTGATCTGTTGGTATGAAATTTTAAATGTGCAAAACAGGAACCAGTTAGTGAACTTCATCAGGGCAGTGAGAAAAGTCACTGGTGAGCAGGCAGACGTTCAGCAAACAGATCATACTGTTCATGTGCAGAGGTGTGAGAGGGAGAGAAGGTGATGAGGCGATGGAGGAACTTACCCATTGTTTGTCAATCTGGGTTTCAAACAACGATGAGCAGGACACATGGACATGAGGGAGGGGGAGGACATGAGACAAGGAAGAGAAGGCAAACAGTCGCATTAATAACACATCAGCGACATTTAAAACCTGTATGACAGCTCAAAAGATCCACCTCCAGACTTATGACAAGATTTAAATTTCCACAGAAGTAAGGATGAAATATCTTCTGTGATTCTCCCACTTGTGTTTTCTGTGGCTGGTACAAGTTTTTTTTTTATTTATTTCAATTTCCATCATAGTTTTGACCTTGAATCAAACATTTTATCTTAAAGGTCGTGTTTCCTGCCACCAGACAGGTTTTATAGTGACAGTGACTGAGAAAGTCAACGTTTGTAGTACTACACACAATCGTGGTATTCAGCCGTAAAGCCAGCGGAGAGCAGACGAGTTGTAAAAGCTTTTCTCCCTTTGAAAACTCCTCAGTATGATTCATTCTTCAGTCAGAAACTGAACATTTAATTGCGATGGCCTAAATGAAGTTCAGCCTGACAGACTGAATGTTTTGTGGTGAAGAAACCTTAGTTAAAACATCTGTGGCTTTATCTTGCATTGTTTTAATCTGGGAACATTTACACTCCAACAGCTCCACACTGCAATCCCAAATCAATGACACTTCATTATTTCCATGTCTGCTACAGAGTTCTCATGGCTAACAGTTTGTAAGTTAGCTAAAATTAGCTCCACCTCAACCAAATGCAACAGTAAAATGTACATAACCACAACACGTTGTGCTTGTGCTGTATATGTGGGTAGCACAATCCACGGGTCACAAATAGAAATGTTACTGCAAAGGAAATTTAATTAAGTTGTGGACTGTGATGGAATATCTCTCTGCAGCAAACTGTCAGAGAAGGCAGAACAAATCTAAAAAATGATGGTCAGAGCTGCTGTTGCTCTATTATTCTGCACGGTAAGATGCACACTTCGTCCCTAATCCAGTGTCCTTATCTGATTATTACCATTTAGCTGAATGTGCATTGTTGTACTGAGATTACGGTACCACCAATCCTGTTGGCTATAGTGGTGTTTCTTGTAGCTGCTGTTAAATTAATCAGTTAACTGATTAATCAGCTAATCGCGTCAACTCTACACTACAACATGTACTACTTCTAAAGTCATTTTTATAAGACAGGTCAGTATTTTCTGAATTGTATGGAATTATCAGAGTATGAATGCTGTACTGTAACCCCCTAGTTCTCTCGTTAAATTTGCTTTCTTGTCTTGCTTGTTTGCCTCCAATTATTTTGAAAATATTCTGTAAAAATATTAAAATACAACTGCAGAGCCTGTCTGTGTATGGATGTTTTTTTATGTGTAGAAGCATGGATGGTGCGTCTCTGCAGGCAGGTATTCAGTGTGTAGGAATAAATGGACCTGGGGTGTTTTGAGCAGCAGCGGCAGCTCAGTGGAAGCTGGAGAAGAGCGGAAGCTCAAGGTTAAGAGAACAGTGAGCTTAGCTCTCTGACAAGACTGTCAGCAGCCAAGGGTTTTGCTCTCGGCGATGCCAAGGCTGCCGCCTCACACAGGCTTCACGGTCACCCATTTAACAGCCCATGTCGAGCGCTTGGCTGTTTCAAGTGAACACAAATGCACCTGGACTCCCCATCTGCTGATGGTTGGAGGGAAACAGTCACATTCTCGTGGCCGATCTGACAGTTCGGCTTGACCTGTTCAGTGCGAGGCTGAAAATAAAAGACGACTGAAGGTTTTAGAAGTTGACGCACTTTCACTCTGTGAGGAATGAGTCTCTGATGGTGAGCTGTGAGATGCAAACTGAAAAATACATCCATCCACTTAAGTGATTTAGTATAATAGTCAGCCAAGACTCATTTTTCTACAAACAAGAAAACTATTCTGCCATTAGGGAGATAGTTTGTCTAGTTCCAAGTTCAGTTTCTTTTCTGGTTTCAAATTATTTCCAGAAATGAGTTGTAGTGTTTTTAAATGTAACAATATGATGCCAAGATCACGGTCTGCAGCAAGTGTAAGAGCAAAATCTGTTCATTTCCATGTAACTGCTAAAATAAAGGGATTCAATAATTAAAGATGAATAAATTATATCCACATTTAATCCAGTTAACCTGCTGAAGTGACCAATCCACATCTTTCTCTCAAACCACCACTCACTGCTCAGTACAAACTCAACCTTGATGATCAAGTGCCCACATTTCTACTGAATGTTACAAGCTACAAAAACACTTTGAACACAGTCAAAAGATGAGGGACAGACACACTTGGTATCCTGACCATGCGCACGTTTTCACTCGATCTAAAACAAAAAACCTAAAACAATTCCTGTCGACTGAACGAGGAGACAATGCCATGAACACCACCACCTGCTCCCTTCTCTTTGCCCCTCCCATCACATCCTGTTTCCTATTGATGACGTAAACTACAGGTACCTAGTTGGAACAAACTACAAACTGCAGCCTCCAACCAGAAGCTAGCGTTAGCTGGCTAACAATAAACGTGCCAGTCCAGTAGAACACTCTGGTTACTGCTGATGTTACACAAAACTCCAGTTACTCCCAAATTAAAACCATACTAATTCAACACAAAGGTAAAATCCTGACCGTGCCAGGTGGCTAATGATATCAAAACGGGTTAGTTTTAGATGTTAATACATCCAGAAGGAAGAACGCCACATCTGAATCCAGTCTGAGCCCTTGGGCTGCTTTTAACCCTCCTGTGGATAACAGTTACAGTGAGTGTGTATAGATGCTGCAATACTACTGACCAAAAGGTATCTAACACAGTCACAGCAAGTAAATGCTTAGGAATTGCAAACCATATTGAAAGTGCTGAACTTTGAGGGAACAAAGAGTCCAAAATGAAAGCTGTATTAGCTGTGTAGCATCATCTAATTGTACCTAAGCCTGCTGCGGGAGTGAACTGCTCCACAGAATACATGCAACATGGTTATACAGTTAATCATTTCTTGAATAAACTGTTAACTTACTGTCTAGTTAGCAGCCTGGCCAGGTAGCTTGCTAACTCCCAGTTAGAAACTAGCAAACAGGTAGCTAGTTAATAGGCCTCTAGTGAATCACCCTTTACTGTGGCTCCCCTGCCTGAGCCCCCCAGCCACAGCAGCTCCCCTACTAGTCACCACATGACCAAACCTTTGGCATCGTACTCTTTCATGAGAATTGCCGTCTTACTCAACCAGGACTGCATTCTCCTGATATGCTGTTGTTTCCATCGGGGGGATTTGTTGTCTTCCACACATCACAACCACAAATCTAACCATCACTGGCAGATGACATGTGGTCTAATCTATCTCAATAACAACCAACAACTTTGGGACTCAATAAGACATTAAATGAATGACTGAGATTTATTTGTTTTAGCAGTTACAGATCATTCAGATTTGGTTTTACCTTTGTGTTAAACCTACAGGAAAAAATCCACAAAATGAAGCCATGTTCATTAATGTGGTCAATCACATCACTGGTCGCTTACTTCCTGACCGGTGTCCAGGACGCAGAGTTTGGAGCACTGGTTCTTGGCGTCCATCAGCACATTGAACATTGTGCAGACCGACAGCGGCACCCGGAAGTCTGTTGACTTACTCGCTTTCTGCATTTTGGCATCAAATGCAGATTTTGTTCTGTAGGACAAAATACAAAGAAGGTTTGAGGGCTGTTTTTACCCAACATGACAAACTGTTTAGTTTCCATCTTTCTAATATTAATGAAAGGAATTCATAAAATCAGGTGTGAGGTACTATATAAAAATAAAGAAGACACACGAGAAGGCTCGAGACAGATGTGAACCCAGATCCAGGTGCAGGGAACTCTGACCTCTTGACGCAGGCCTCCATCATGTCGCTGGCCATCAGTTTGAGTCTCTGCTCCAGATGTTTGGCAAATTCAGGCTCCGGCCAGTGAAGGTCCATTACAAACATCTGCAGAGCGTCCAGCTTCCAAAACAAATCCTCCGAAGTGGCTGAGCCGTTACTGTGGGGAGGATGGAGTATCAGACAAACAACATTAACAACATTTAAAGGTTTTTCAACATGGCTAGATCTTCTGTGATGTTCTTTCATTCTAGCATACTCTTATTTTGGTAACATGGTGAAGCAAGTGTGAGGATCTCTACTCAAGGAACAACTTTTTACTACTCTTCCTACCTTCCCCTGAGGTGTTGCTGAAATATTTTTGAAAAACTGAATATTTTCAAGCACAATTTGGAAAGCAGAGTTTACTTTAGAATCTGTTGTGCTTCTGCAAATGGAACCTTTTCATTTTGTTCTGGACTTTTCAGAGAAAGGTACACTTTCTTTAACCTGTTTACTTTTGGTGTTTTGCTATACATCTGTTAGTTACTTTCAACAGCTTATACATGGATGTAGTTGCGCCTTGCTATGTTTGAGCTACATTTTTACTTATTTGTTAAAGAATTATTGGTATGTTGTTGTACATTGTGCCCTCTCTTTTGAAGGCTGATGCTTTGCTCTCTGCAGCTGTTCTTTTTGCATCTGTAGCTGTAGATGGTGGTGCCTTGCATGGGATCAGTCCCAGAAAGTGTTTAAGCCACTTCGCAGACAGACATGGTTTTAAATTTACTTCTATGTAAGTCAACTTGCAGAGCTTGAAAAATCTGCACCGCAAAGATTGTTCTCAAACAACAACGTTCTGACATGTCAGTCATCTGTGTTTGGACGATAATGCAGTTGTGAGCAGGGACCTGTTGGAAAACTCTCTGGATTGGTGTGTTCAAGAACACGCCGACACCTGTGGCTTAACAGTCTGCCGTTGAAGAGAAAAATCTGGAAATACTTCAACTTCTTATGTATTTTCCAACTAATTTCCTTAGAAGTTTCCTGGAAAGCACCATGTCATTTGGTCCAACATGTCTGCTATTGTTTTCTGGCAGCACGGGTCACAAATAGAAATGTTACTGCAAAAGAATATGAAATTTAATTATGTTGTGGGCTGTGATGGAAAATCTCAGCAGCAAACTGTCAGAGAAGGCAGAGTAAATCTAAAAATGATGGTCATAACTGCACAAACATGTAGGTTCACTGGTATGATCCTGTCTTCAGTGGTACATTTCTACAAACAGTGGCTCAGAATCTTCTGCTGAGGAAAAACAGAAGACAAGTGTATTCAGGTTCTCGTGTGCTTCTTCAACAGGTTTTGGTAGTTTTTGGTGTAGAGCTGTGTGCTTTCAGTCAGTAAACACTGCACCAGGCTGAAACAGAGACAGATGGACGTCTCCCCGCCTTCTCCCCTGCGCACAGGTTACACAGCAACACATGGCAACGCTCGCCGCCACCGACATCCAAGTGTACAGCGCCCAGCTAGAGTGACGGCCACAGGAGGATGGGGGAGGGAGGTGGTGGGTGACAGAGGGGTTACAACAAGCACCACTCACTCCCTCACTATTCTCACTTTGCCTTTAAAAGACTGTTACCTTAACAAGTGGCGCACAGGAATAAACGCTTTGGGCTGAATCTGTGGTGCAATTAAATGCTCGGTGGCTATCCCCCTCAAGTCTAATTAGTGGTGCTCTTCTCTGAGCGCACTCCGCCCTGCTCCCCGGGGAACGGGACGATCCCACTCGCCCGTCTGTGCTCACTAATGAAGTGCCAGCTCTTTTCTCTTTTTTTTCATTGGATCGAGGAGGGCCAAGTGAAGTGAGGTAGAGAAACAGTGTGGTCTGTGTTGCCTCTGATGTCTCACTGATTTCAAAGCTCAGTATATACTGTACAGCAATTATCTTCATTATTGATCACTCCTTATTTTTGGATTTAAGAGATGAATCCATTTTGGGTTTAAGAGATGAATCTGTCTGGGGGAAAAAAAAAAGTCAAAAAATACATACAACATAGGTCCCCAGAGTCCAAAGTTTTGCCTTAAATATACAATTTTATCTGATTATCTAAAAAGGCAAAAAGTTTCCAATAATATAAAAAATAGAAAAGCAAATCATCACATTGGAGAAGCTGTGAGACCAGAAAATGTTTGGAATGTTAACTGACAATGAATATTTTTTATTGCCTGTCCAACAGCACTTAAAAACTACACATTTTTATGCTGAAATAAGTTTTATGAAGGCAAGATCAAATAGATTTGTACAAAACAGTGTGTAAGTTTGACATACAAACTTTCTCCAAAGCAAAGCTTCTGAACAGTGCTGATGGAAAACCCAAAATGGAGGAAGCTAAAAAGCGTTTTTTTTTTTTAGCTGTGTTGCACCATCCAGTCTCATTTAACATCCGCTAAACAGCTCCACAGAAGAGACAGGACTTACAGACTGTTATAGGATTAAATCTGATGGTACAAATACATCTGTGTATTGTCCTCATTGTCCCTGTAGCAACCAAGCTCAAAAGTTTGAGAGCTCAAACATTTCCCTCCTCTACAACTCCATGAAAAGATGAACATCACTGAGACAAAAATGTGAGGGGACCAAACAGTTCAATACATAGAAAACAAAGAAACTGAATCAAGTGCTAGCATGCTCTCTGCTGGCTAGCATTTTAGAAGCTACTATGCTACTAAGGCCATTAGAATGACGTGGATGACTATGACTGACATGTCGTGACCCTGCCTCAGTTCTCTTTAACCTCCAAGACTTAGTTTAGGTGCTCTGTGCCTCAAACAGTTTTACCAAAATTGCTGTCCATTTTGTGTCATTTGGCAAAATCTTTGACATTTTACAATACACATCACTTTTTCAGACAACTGAAGAGTAGTTAGCAAATTTGTTCAAACTCTGCAGAATGCATTGTAACATTTCTCATCACCCTTAAATCTCAGTGTTTCCTTTGACTTTTGGTCGCTGTTGATAACTTTTACTATGGTAGTGTTGGGGCAGGACCAGGTATGTAACTAGTGTGTGTGTGTGTGTGTGTGTACACGTGTGTGTACGTGTAGGTACGTGTACGTACGTGTACGTGTACGTAAAAGGAAGTTTTGGTGTCTGGCTCCTTCCACCAAGCAGACTATGTTGGTACTGGAATGAATGGGGTTCTGTGGTACAGGGGAAGCTAATTATGATTTTTGTTGCCTGTTGTCTGTGAGCCACGGTTTACATGGTAAAGATGTTTCAAATGTAATTTAAATGTTATCAGTTCAAAATAGATTAAAGATCACTGTGAAGATTTATATTCATGACTTAGATTTCTGTAATCTAAGAAACTTCATCGGTTCCTAAGATACTTAAGTGCATATTTTGAATCAATTTGCCAGAAAAAGATTGCCTTCTATATTGTAGAAACACTCAACATGACACTCGGCAAGCAACTACAACCATAAAGTAAATATGCAATAAAACGTCTCATGGAAATTCTTGTTGATTTTCTTTACATTGTAAATTTTGACACAGTAGGACATTTTGGATGTAACAAGAAGCAGGCAGGTTAGTGGATTAAGCTTTCTCATATGTGAAACACAGAACATCTCTCAACTCACAAGATATCAGGTAGATTTATTCCTTGCAAGCTGCAACAAAAAATTGATGTTATTGTTACACCGATATTGACACTGTGACATGTACACTGCGCAGCACAAGGACTCGTGATACAAGGTGTATCATGAAATCTTCAATGAGGCTGAGGGACGACCTTGCTGACAAAAAATCCAGTGTCACAGGCACAATCTGAAGACAGAGGACTCCCTCTCACACTGAGCCTGGCTCATTCAGTTGTGACTAATACTGCATGCTCTTCAGTTCACGTTCAGAGACCAGGTCTGGACAGCATGAGTTTTTCTGGATTTCAATAAATTATATTTTAAGACAATAAAATCTTAAGCAGGGCTTCATGCAAAAGCAAAAGAATCTTTGGAGTTCTGACTGAATAAGTTTGCTGATATAATAACTCATTCCAGTGATATGGACTCTGACAAACATGCAGGCAAATGAACAGAAACAGAGCTGTGATGCAGGACACCAGAGGACCGTCCAGGCTAGAGGTGTTCACCCATACCTGACACCCTGAAAACCAAAAGACCAGACCTGAGTTGATCCAGGGCTCTTTCTTACACTTTGTTGTCCACTTCAGCTCTGATTCAGGTCTGACTACAAATCTTAGGCCTTTGTAAAATGCTGATTTGACCCTGCAGAAGTTGAGCAGTTCAACATGAGCAATCAAAGATGAATGTGTTGTGCAGGGGCTTGTCCACCTTCATTCCAGTCACCCCTGTTACACACAGGTGTGCAGAGATATTTTCATTAGAGCACATAGCAACATGCTATGCACCTCTTCATGCCACATTATAGCCTTGCATGTTAGCTGGCTCGCATTAGTATGCTAGGCATGACATGCATGTGTGTTTACTGAATCTGTTACCCTACATTGAGTAACACAGTCTGCTGACCTGAATATTACCATTAGTGTTGCTATACTAACATGTATTTTGCATTAGTATTGCTGCTATTAGCACAACTTAGCTGTACTCTGAGCTTAATGCAAAAATTGCTGGCTACAATGATGTGCTAAAAGTTCAGTCCCATCTTGGATTCAGGAGAGGCTGGTTCTTGGTCACAAATGGTCAGACCGTGTGAAGACCTCTAGTCCAGACCACACTGATGCCTTCGAGATATCCAGCCCCCCGATACATACGTGTTCTCACACAGCGGTCCCATCCAGGCGGGTGCTGAGAAACTGGGCATCTGCAGCAGCGTGAGGGGAAGACTGGGGACTTTGGGAAGTGGAACGCTCGCCAGATTGTTAGTTAATGACCTGCCAGGTCAGAGTCAGCAGCGAGGTCGATTTGATGGCAGAAAAAGAAAATGTTAAAAGAACAAAGGACAAAGAGAAGAAACTGTGACAGTAACAGTGTATGTTCTTCACCACAGCACACACAGAATAACTGTAACACAGAGGCAGCCACTTGTTCCGCCAGCAGTTATTCATGAACAGCAAACATAAATAAAAGACAGAAAAGACACTGTGCACTTCTATTCATTTTATTTTCTTTCAGTTCAGGTGCTTTTTGTTAAAGCAGCTCTCAGTACATTGCCCCTGACTGCAGTGTGTCCTTGCTGAGTGTATTTTACATTCAGCTCTGCCTCCTTTTGCTCCTCAGTTTGTTCAGTTCCCTCCTCTTTTATTGTTTCTGTAACACTCGTGCACCAGCTACTATCACACTGCAACAAATCCTCAGTGCCGATCGTAAATGGAATGTAATAAGAGACAGTAAGGGAACCAGTGAAACTGATGTTTACAGCCAGAGCCAGAGGAGAGAGAGATCACAGACAGGTACTATTTGAGAACGAAGAAGGTGAAAAGTGTCTCTTTCTACACATGGATACAAACACCAGAGGCAGTTCACCATTAAGAAAAAAAACAAACTGTGGCTTAAATATCCATAACAGAATCTGTTCTATATCACCTTTGTAACCCACCTTTGCCACAATTTACCCAGGGTGAATTAGTGTCCACTTACTTCTCCCTGTTGACTGTAACCAATATTGCACCGCTTCTCAAATTCACTTTGTCTTCAGTTTTAACACCTCTAAGTCACTGTTTAAACTGGAGCTGAACATGTTTGAAAAGCTTTGTGAATGAAATGTCACATGTATTAAGATCCTCCAAAAATGAAGTACAGAAGAGCCCTGTCATTGTTTATGTGAAAAGACATGAACAACATACTGTCGTCTGCATAAAGACAGGAGCAGAGGTGGGCAGACAGATTTGCTATGATCACCTCAAACCGAGGATCATTTAAAATGAACTATACTGTATGCACTGAAATGCAGATACTGAAACCCTTTCAAAAGGAAAGTTCTAAGCAACCTAATGCCTTAAGAGTCAGATATTTGCTTTGCAGTAATGTATACCTCAACACATTTTAAATTTGCAAATAATTCAAACCAGTGTGGTCGGGGGTTATCATTATTGTACAAAGGATGCTTTGCATCTTCTCTGCAGATGAGAGAGTGCTGCAGTGCACAGGGTGTCTGAAGCTAATACTAATCACTGATGCAGGTGAGGAACAGGTGGGTGGACACTTACTTGACGGACTGCCAGGTCTCCTGTTCAAAGCCACGGTGGATGGACTGGGCGATGGATGACTCCATCAGGTCAATGTAGCGCACCACCAGAGGGACGAACAGCTCCTGCAGGTGTTTGTGGAATGTCCCGTTGCACAGGTGGGCTGTTGGGGGAGGGGCCAAAAGGAGACCAGGTGAGAAAATTCAAAAACATGTTTCATTTTTATGGAAAACCAACAAGCTAGCCTATCACAAACCCTGTCCCCTATACATTATCTTTACAGTCTACTAATTGCCACCATGACTCCACCGCAACCACCTCTGTACGGCTTCCATGTGGCTAATAAGATTCTCATTTAACTCCCTACCAGAAAGCAAATAACCATATCTCCCCAAATGGCAAGCAGATGCTTTGAGGCATTTTTAGAACTTGAGTAGAAAAACAACAACTCGAGCTCTTTTGTGGAGTCAGGACCAGTCCAGGCCTCAGGTTGCAGGCTGTTTTGAAAACTGCAAATTAGGTGTTTGATCTGTCCACAGATGCCCTCATGCACAAATCCAGGTCCAGGATGAAATGGTTTTTCCTGTTTGTTGTGGAAAGACATGACTGGCCGGACCTTCAGAAACTTCACAGAGGTAGAGTCTGTGCTGCAGAGGGACTGTTCCAAGCTCAAACAGGACCGCACAGGTGTTTGTGTGCAGGTGATACTGTGTACACCCCCACCCTCACCCCTCTTTGTGGGTTTGAGAGAGACTGTCAAACAGACAGACGATCTGCAGCGAAGAGAAATGAAGAGAGTGCTGGGTGGGAAGCAAGCAGGCTGGTCTCTCAGGACTTCATTAGTTTTAATTCCTCTCGCTCTGCTCCATCATGATTAACACTAGCCTTTTTGCCCTCCAGGGAGTAAACTCCGCCTCCCTCGCAACCGCTCGCCTACACACGCTGACAATCAAGTGAGCATTTAAATAATCTACAGAACAACTGAGAGATAATACACTTGTTGAAGAAAATCCTCAAAGAATCGGTGAAACAGTCGTCACCTGAGATCAGCATCACTGCAGAGGTTACCCTTTCCTCTGAATGGATAAAATGTCTGAGAAATGCCATGAGCAAATAGAGAAGTCAAGGATTGTTCATATTTGATCACTGTGAGGTTCAGAGAAGACAACTTGTAATTCACGACCTTTTGTTTGCTTCCCTCACCTGACTGGGCTGAAGTCTCTTTCCTGTGACTTTAGGTGTAATTGGCAAAGAGGGAAGACCTCATTTGTGCAAACGGTCAAAACTATGATTTAGCTTGTTCTATGCTTCGGCTCGATCTATTGCCTCATTACGCTCCAATTCAAGTCAGCTAATGTTGTGACACTTGGAATAATTATGGCATTATGATAGTAATTAGAAAAAATATAAAATATATGAGCCACAGAAAAGAGAGATGCGGTGCCTCACATAATGAAACGCTGTGTTTTTTTGTTCCCAACAGTGCCCTTGGGCTGTCTGTCTATCTGCCTGCCTGTCTGTTACTGTATTTGAGGTACTTTGGCATCAGCCATGTTAAATAACGCCTCACATCACGCCAAATCTCTGCTGGCTCAGAGACAAAGCCTTGGAGCCGACAGAGGGCTTGGAGACAGGAAACAATGAGCAGAGATTTTTCTTCAGCAGTCAAATGAAATCTTAACAGTTTATCAGTGAAGAAAATGCAACAACAATGTGAGATGTGGCAGAGCAATGTTGATATTTGTCATACTTTAATCTAAAGTTTCCACTTTCATTTTGAGGTTTTTGTTTTTTTTCCACACCACTGGGACCTTGAGACATAGAAAAGCACATTACAAAAATAAGCGGGCGTCCAAAAAATGTTTGCTTAGTCCTGAAATGATGTTTGTTGCTGTGCTGATGTGTTCCAGGAAATGGTTTACCACTCAAAAAGTCACAAAATGGATGGAAAATGATAAAGGATGATGTTGGCAATGAAATCTCATCTCAGAACTCATCTCCTGCCTTGAACGCTCTTTATTTTCAGCCTACGCTGTTCAGCAATACATGAGTGACACTGAAGAGCGATTTTCAAAAAAAAAAAAAGTTCATTTTACTGTGTTCTTGTCTTTACCTCCATATCTCTTTTGAAACTTTGAGATATTACACAAAGAGGTGAGTCAAATGTTGCAGAGCCGACTCGACAACAGCCAAGATGATCACGCAGCAAATTATGACAATCCACACACTCAAAAAAAACACTGACCTACAGTTAACCTAAGATTAACCTAAAGGATGTCTTTCTTAGTCACAAAACAAATGCAAAGTGTGTAATTGAGGCCATGTTATCTGTAGTTTTCTTAGTAGTTCTAGGAGGAGTTTACATGTGACAGTTGCAACACTGTTGGATGTCTTGTACATTGACTTCAGCATGTTTTAGAGTCAACATCTTGAAATTTTACCAGCCAAGAAAAAACAAATGTCACTGAAGTTGTGATTTTTTTTTTTTTTTTTTAATCTTTGGATTGGTGACTTGAAATTGCCCATAGGAGTGAGAGGGTGTGTGTGTGTGTGTGGTTGTCTGTCTACATCTCACCCCTGGAACAGACTGGCGACCTGTCCATTGTGGACCCTGCCTGTCGCCCAATGTCAGCTAGGATTGGCTCCAGCCCCCCCATGACCCTATTTAGGATAAGCTGCATATGTAATGGATGGATGGAAACAAACTGCAATTTTTTTCCATCGATCTACATGTACTCACTAATGACCAAGTGAAAACCAAAGACAATGTCCCATTTACAGAAGTATTAGGAGCCTTGGCTTAGTACTTTCTAGAAGCTCCTATGGCACCAGTAACAGCTTCCAGTCTTCGTATGCAAGTCTTTAAAAGCCATGCACACCCGGGTCTGTGCAGTTCTTCCTGGCAGATCCTCTCAGCCTCTGTCAGACTGGGTGGGAATAGTCTATGAACTCCATCCTGAGGTCTCTCCACGGATTCTCTCCGGGGTTTAAGTTGAGAGGTTGGGCCCTCAGTGACCTGAAGCCACTCCAGTGTAGCCCTGGCTGTTTGCTTCAGGCCACTGTCCTGATAGGTGAAATGTCACCTCAGTCTGCAGTCGTGTTTGCTCTGGAGCAGGTTTTCTTTAAGGATCTCTCTGTATGTGGCTGCCTTCATCCCCCAGCTCTGACCAGACTTGCTCGGAAGCCCCCATCATAGCAGGATGCTGCCACCATCATGATTCACCCTGCAGGGACGATGGATTTGCTGCTCTGATAAATCAGAACTTAGGTAAAAAAATGTATTTTAAATTACACAAATCGTTTTTCAGTTTTCACATGAGCTGAAATTAAAAACTCCAAGAGTTCAGTTTTCTGTCCAACAACTATATACATAAGAGCCAAATTAAGACGAAGCACAGCATAAGCCTGACGTCGTGTGAAGGTACACAGGTTATTGGACACAGAGCTGAAGATAACCCACAGCAGCTGACTGTCCCTCCTCCATTCTCGACAGTTTCCTCTCTTGCTTGTGTTAATTACTTCTCAGACGGAGGATGCGGGGTGCCGCTAACCTCATCTCTTAACAAGCCTCGTTTTCTCTGGCATCACCAGTGTTAATTAGCGCTCTTAGCGGTGAGACCATGTGCCGCGTCGCATGGGACATTTCCTCTCAAAAAAGCTGCAGATTGAGAGGAATGAACATGAAGGTCAGGGCTGCGAGTATGAAAAGAAATCAGAGGTATCAGTGAGGGGTCATGGCTGACCACTGGCAGTGGTTCACAAAGGTAAGTGTAAATGTAAATCTAGTGTATTTACTTTTATTCCGCAGATGAATCTTGGTACTAATTTCTTGTTGCAACAATTTCTACATGGGAACCATTAAATGGCACATTTAAATGCTGCAGTTACAAAATGATATTCATTTAGGTATGAATTTTAAAACTGCTCTAACTTTCAACTGTTAAAGTGCGAGTGAGAATCAAAACAAACTCAGACGGCAGCCCCTCCTCTTCTGAACTCGGACCAGCCAGGGAGTGGAAGAAGTGTGGTGCGGACTTGAACAACAGTGGCCACAGAGGGCAAGAAATAAACAAGGCCTGAAGACAGCAGAGAGGGGTGGGGGGGCTAGTACAGCAGGGAGACAATACTTCTAGATGATTTTTGTTACTTGATTTATTTGAATTTGTGCTAAATCTTAGTTAATGCAGCTTTAACGCCTTCATTACCCAGAAACCCTATGGGCAGTGTTGTGCAAGTTTTGATTTGATTAGATTTATTTCTTCTTTCAAACATGTAACAACAATCAGTATGTAACCACACATAATTCCAGACATATCCACAAATATATTTTCAATTTGCTTATACCTAGTACAGTGGCATTCAATCAGTGAGGTCATCAATTTTGTGAAATAACAGGTGTGAATCAGGTGGCCCCTATTTAAGGATGAAGCCAGCACTTGTTGAACATGCATTTGAAAGCCTGAGGAAAATGGGTCGTTCAAGACATTGTTCAGAAGAACAGCGTACTTTGATTAAAAAGTTGATTGGAGAGGGGAAAACCTATAAAGAGGTGCAAAAAATTATAGGCTGTTCAGCTAAAATGATCTCCAATGCCTTAAAATGGAGAGCAAAACCAGAGAGACGTGGAAGAAAACGGAAGACAACCATCAAAATGGATCGAAGAATAACCAGAATGGCAAAGGCCCAGCCAATGATCAGCTCCAGGATGATCAAAGACAGTCTGGAGTTACCTGTAAGTACTGTGACAGTTAGAAGACGTCTGTGTGAAGCTAATCTATTTTCAAGAATCCCCCGCAAAGTCCCTCTGTTAAAAAAAAGGCACGTGCAGAAGAGGTTACAATTTGCCAAAGAACACATCAACTGGCCTAAAGAGAAATGGAGGAACATTTTGTGGACTGATGAGAGTAAAATTGTTCTTTTTGGGTCCAAGGGCCACAGACAGTTTGTGAGACAACCCTCAAACTCTGAATTCAAGCCACAGTACACAGTGAAGACAGTGAAGCATGGTGGTGCAAGCATCATGATATGGGCATGTTTCTCCTACTATGGTGTTGGGCCTATTTATCGCATACCAGGGATCATGGATCAGTTTGCATATGTCAAAATACTTGAAGAGGTCATGTTGCCTTATGCTGAAGAGGACATGCCCTTGAAATGGTTGTTTCAACAAGACAATGACCCCAAACACACTAGTAAACGAGCAAAGTCTTGGTTCCAAACCAACAAAATTAATGTTATGGAGTGGCCAGCCCAATCCCCGGACCTTAATCCAATCGAGAACTTGTGGGGTGATATCAAAAATGCTGTTTCTGAAGCAAAACCAAGAAATGTAAATGAATTGTGGAATGTTGTTAAAGAATCATGGAGTGGAATAACAGCTGAAAGGTGCCACAAGTTGGTTGACTCCATGCCACACAGATGTGAAGCAGTTATAAAAAACTGTGGTCATACAACTAAATATTAGTTTAGTGATTCACAGGATTGCTAAATCCTAGAAACAAAAACGTTTGTACAAAATAGTTTTGTGTTTGTACAGTCAACGGCAGACACTGCTATTTTTTTTAACACACCCCTTTCAACTAATTGCCCAATTGCACAGCCTTAAGAGCGTGCATATCATGAATGCTGGGTCTTGTTTGCTTTCTGAGAATCTACTGCACCTACTGGTAACTTGTTTGCCATGTAGCAATAAAAAATATACTAAAAACCTGGATTATTCTGGTTAGTCACATTGTACTGCTATTATTTTGAACAATACTGTACATGCTTGAACGGAGTAGGAAGAAGTTAGACTTATCTAGTCCTACCCCCTAACATCATCTTATCATCATTGGTTTGCAAGCAGTATTACTACATGGTTACATATTCTACATCCACACTCCCATCTGATTAATCATTAAGCCTGTTCTTGCATATATCTTGATTGACACATACCTTTATATTTATGTTTAAACTCATCAATTCTATTAATATTTTTTATGTCCACACTTAAATTATTCCATAGTTTTACTCCACTTATGGAAATACAGAAGCTTTTTTTGGTTGTGCGTATAGCATGAATTTTATAATTTAACTGACCCCTTAAATTGTATCCCCCTTCCCTTTCATTGAATAGTTTTTGAATTCCACCAGGTAATAAATTGTTCCTGGCTTTATACATAAACACAGTAGTCTTGTGTCCTACTAAATCAAAAAACTTTAACAATTTAGATTGTATGAGTTCAGCTCACACATTAAAATGAATTAGTTCTCGTTCATCATCTCAGACTTAACATTGACACAGTGAATTGTTTCTGGCCTCTTGTAAAAACTCCTGTCACTTCTCTTTACTGTGGTTATTTCATATGTGGCTGCTACTGAAGTGTTAGCTGCTCATGCTAACAAAACATTTGCTGTTGCTGCTCCTTCACATTAAGAGCAATACATAATCAAAACCCTGAATTTTAATAATCAATAAAAAAAATGATAATCACTTTATTTGGCCAAGTATGTTACACACACACACACACACACAGAACCGAGGCAGCCATCTGCAGCGCCAACACGGGGTTTAGTGCTTTGCCCAAGGCCACTTCTCCATGTGGACTGGAGGTACCGTGAGTCGAGCTGCCAACCTTCCAGTTGGGAGATGACCGCTCTACCCAATGAACCACAGTAAGGGAAAATGTAATCTATTTGTCACTGACATTAGCATAACCATTGTTTGGAGAAAGAAAGAAAGAAAATATTTGAATGGTTCATAGAATATTAGCAATGCTAGAAAATAAGTAAACAAAATCTTTCCCACTCATGTTCATTAGCTGCATCTGAATTTAAATCACATTCAAGTTCACTAGTTGCAAACTGAATCTCTCCATCCGTTCACCGAAAGGCGAGCAAGCTCAGTGAACGGTGCTCATTTAGTGCATGGGGATGAAGGTAATAGAGGAGGTCGGAAGAATTCAGACTGTTGGATCATTTTTGTATCAAAGGAAAAACAGTTTGATTTGGAGAAAATCTGAAGCAGCTGTGTGTGTGGGACGATCTGACCGCTGCACAACCGTCTTGGTTCAGAGCCCACAGAAACTGGCAGAGTAAAGCTGTGATTACAGGCTACAGAAAATCACACACTGAACTTGGTTTAATACTCAGTTGGTCAATGTCTCAAATCACATCAAACCTTCATGCGTTGAACCTGATGGGCTAAATTTCCACCCGGTGAATGAAAAAAGTAGGAGTTCATTCTGACTTGTTTCTATGTAAAAGAATGATTGTACCAACACGTCAGAGGAAAAAGGTTCAGAGTTTAAAGATCAATTTCTGCTCTTACTTTTAAATGCCATGTTGCGAGAAGTTTTGAGCAGAAGAGTTGATTCATATTTTTAGTAGCTGGTGTTTAACATTCATTAGTTTTAAGTGGACTTATACTGTTACACTGCCAGAGTGCACCTCCAAATTCATGTACCCAGGCCTGGCAACACCAACAAGTCTTCACAGACACAGTCAGAGACACCGTCAGTTATAAATAAGTTTTCTTTCTCTTCTGTGGCAGCAAATACAACTCTGAGGCCTGCTGATGACAGTGTTGATAAAATATCTAGGACCTCTTAAGTCCATTCTGAGTGTGTTAAGTTATCATCTGGTCAAGAAGGTGGTGCATGCCACATAACCACAGCATCAGCGGTTTAACCAACAACCTCAGGGCAGAAAATGCCACAAAAATGTCTTTAATGGGGTCAAGGAAAAAAAAAAAAACATGAAATGCAATGGATGTCTGAAATAGTGCCGTTTCCTGTTGCGGCGTTACAGTACAAGCAGTCTATCCACACTAGTTGACAGCAGTGGTCTCTCCAGAGTTCCTGCTGCTTATAGCACCAACTGTAGAAGAAGCTAACTGCTGCCCACCAGGCTGAATGCTAGATATTCAGCTTAAACTGAACACAAAAGAAAACACTGATCATGCTGCAATTGTTCTTACTTTACTGGGTTTTAAGCCTCAGATGCTGTCTTAAGTTATTTTAGTTTTTATTTTGTCATTTAATGTTGTTTATTTAGAAAAGTCTAGGAGGCGTGCACCACTAGCTGTGACATACTATACAGTGGCTTGTTTTACTGAAGCCACGTTTTCTAGATCTCCACAACAAAGGCTGTTGAATAAGTGCTGGGACTTTTTCTTTTTAACTTTTCTTTTCCAGCTCAAAACACAGCTGAGCTCAAGTGCAGCTGCGTCACTCATCTGAAGGAAACGGGAGACTCACGGTCTGTTCGCAGGAAGTTGTTCAGGAGCTGGAACAGCGGGAAGCTGTCCCAGGAGTCGACAGGCTGCACCTGCAGAGCGGCGTCCATGTCGGCTCTGTACAGAGACAGAAACGTCTCGGCGTGTTCGGCCATCAGCTCCGGCCACCACGAGAAAGCCTGACAAAGACAGAGATGTGACAGAATGATGGACAGGAAGTTGTCTTGGCTCTGCTCCATAGACATCGCCCTGCCAACAACGTTCCAAATCTACATGCAAACATGTCTCATGCCTTAAGACCATCTTGCCAAGAAAAGCAACCGCATCAATTGTTGCAGCCAGTACACAAAACATTATTTACTCTCAAGCAACAAGACTCTGCAGCAGCTGCTGGAATCCTGACGGGAGCAAAGGAAGAAGTCAGGAGGTGTTTCTCTAAAGCCACAGACAGATGGGACAACACACCGTTGGACTTTCAGCAGCAGAGTTCTCATGTCGAAGCATTTCAACACCAGAACATGCTGCGACCTCGACGTCTCTTACTGGTGAGAGGCTTCCTGTACTGGGCTCCTCTTTGCTTGGTGACTCAGGTGTGAGGACGGCCTGCTCGAGGCAGGTTTTACTGTGGCATCCTGTGACTTGTGCCTTTCAATGATATTTTCATGGAGTTGCTTGTAGTTTTCCTTGCTCTTCATCACAGAGGTTTTTCATTGCAACAAACTCACCAGAAGTTAGACCCTCCAGTTACAGGTGTATTTGTATGACAATCAATTTTAAACCCCTCAACTCCAAACAGGAGATTTAATTGGACTTATTCATTTATAGGACAACGCATATTAATCTAAATTTCTGTAAATGTGAAAGTGTCACTAATTTTCTGTGACTTCTAAGATCAGCTGGCATTATGAATGCTGGATGTGGGGTGTCCCATTAAAGGTGATGAGCACGTATCCAAACACGTCCTCTGTGTTTTATATGCAATTAATACAAATCACTTTGTAGAAACTGATTGTAACTTTTTCTGATCAGTGTCAAAAAGCCACATTAAAACTACTTTGATTCAAAGTTGTAAAACGTGAAAACTTCAACAGGGGTTCAGTACTTCGTATTGGCACTGTATGTTACTGACGTCTTGGGTCTCGAGGATAAAAACATCTTGATCTGAATAAGAAGGATGTACTGAAAAAGGCTGCAGAATTTGAAATAAATCTTTAGATGTTGAAAGAGAAGGGCTACAGTAAAGTAGATGCCTTCAATCTACAGAGCATCAGGCTGTGTGTCTCAGTGGACAGAGGTCAGCCTGCTCAGGTACACGATGGCGCCGACGGCCGAAGGACATCAGAGAAAATGCTATGAGCCTTGAATCACACTGACGCCGTGATGTAGGTATTCACGGGTGATAGAGGACAAAGAGGCAGAGATGCAAGACGAGGAAAAGAGAAAGGACACAGCATCGCCTCGTACCCATGGCATTGCAGGACGACTCTTCAGGCCTTTCAAATGCCATTTCAGTTTCCTGTTACTGACAAACAGCATTAAACCAGCCTGATGAGTCCTCAACATCTACAACCGTCTCTTCTCAATAACAGCTGCTCGAGAATAGATGCTGCAGTCAAACCATCAAGAAAGACAAAGAAGAAGAGACAAGAATGCAAAGAAGGATCCAAGAAGGGAGACAAAGAATGAGAAACAGGAGATGAGCACAGAACGAAGGAAGATTGGGGGGAGAGAGAGAGGAAACAAATGAAAGAAAGGCGTGGAGGGGGAAAGGAAGGAATAAAAAGGTTGGGAGGATGGAGGACAGGAAGAAAGGTGGGAAGAAGAAAAAGAAAACGGTACAGGAGAAGGCACGATGAAAGCCAGGATGAATTAAAGAGTAGGAAAAAGGATGAAATGAGGGAAAGTGAAAATGAAAAGAAAATATTAAAAAAGTGGGCATTGGGAAGTAGGGAAGGAGAGGGAAGATAGGATGGATGAAAACAGAACGGGAAAAGGAAAGAGAACAGAAGCAAGACAAAACAGGATAGAAAGACTGAGAAGTAGAACAAAAGATAAAAGGTGGACAATGTCATGTTGAACTGCCGACAAACAAACAATAAAAACACAGTACCAACCTGGAAGATGAAACACATTCAATCTCTCACACACACACACACACACACACACACACACGACAGAGACACACAGACATCAGGGTCTGATAGAGGATACGACAACAACAACAAGCAGAGAACGACACTCACCTCTCTTCCCTTCCCATGGTGGAAGACAGAAAAAGACACAGGGAGGATACAGTCAAATAAACAGTTTAATGGTAATTTCTCCTGCATTTATTGACTGTTCTTTTTTAACAGATTTGTGGCATTACTTCCTTCATGTGCAACTTTTCAAACCTTCTGATCTCTGGATTTTCTATGCTGTGTTGAAGATGTGATATTCATTGGTCACTGTGTTCTGTTTGTCACGAGACATTTGGCCATTAAAAAGCCCCGTCTACGTAAAAATACGTCTCTCGTTGTTCCTCAAATTGGATGATTTACAGACACAGTTTGACGCTAGACGTCTGTTTTCCCATTGATCTGCGAGTGGAGAACGTTTCCCTCTGTGAGCGTGTGCACCTACAGCATTTTGTCCAAATATGCAGCTCTGTGGAACAAACACCGGGAACGGACTTTTCAGTGAAGTAGGAGGCACAGTCTGGTCAGAAGCAAAACTTCTGAAATGAACAGCATTTGTTATTTTGCAGATAACATTCCAGGCAGAGAGTTTTGCCTTAAAGCCCATCTGGAGGGGCTCTTTATATAGAAAGAGCCTGTGTGGACAGACTGAAACACCAGCTCGTCACTTTGACATCCTGGTAATGAAACACTGATAAAAAATAAACAACAACAAAAACCAGAGAGGCAGCGGGCACGTGTTTGACGCTGACAGCAACCGGGTAAACAATTATGATTAATCTCTAAATTTAAGCTGTGACAGCTTGAGACAGTGCTCTGATACAAAGCCTCTAATTTGTAGTTAACATCACATCTGAAGCTCGGAGCACAGATCCACCCGTCGCCATGGCAGCGGCAGAGCGCGGCGTGTTATTAATAGCTCAGAAACAGATGTCTGAGCGCCATGATGCCACTTAAGGACGATCAAACCGCCACATTTCAGCACCTATGATTGATCAGTTGTACACTGTGGCATGCATATAAGCCGTGGGCGTTGTTTTCATGGCGCCTCCGCCACAGACGTTAATGCAGCACCGCCACTCGCCGTGTCATCTGCCACTTTAGTGTGAGCGCTGCCAACAGAGGCAAAGGAGGAAAATGGACAGTGCAGTTAGAAATGATCAAAGATAGTTAATGAAATGATCAAGTGACTCGTGGCATCTCTGCCACTGTCACTTAGAAAAAACACAACCAAGTTTCTGCGGGAGACGAGACCGAGTTAAATCACTGCTGTAATTAATTCTAAGAAACTCCCTCACGGTGTTCCTGAGATGTTCACAAAGAGACTGCACAGTATTTCCACTGGCAGCTGTCCCTGGCACAAAGGCCCCACAAAACTATTTCTTTTGGTGAATGTTTTAAAGTACCTCGGAGTGATGTTCGTCGTTCTGCTGCAGGACTTCGATGCAGAGCTCGCCCAGTCGTATCATGTCCTCCAGCCCTTTCTCTGGAGCTGCCTGAGGATCAGCTGAAAGACCAAGCACAGCAGGAAACATGCACATTACACACAGACATTACATGGCAGAGAAACCTACTTATAGAAATCAGCCTTCTCCAATCCTCTACAGCAACTAAGGAAACAGGGTGTTTTGTTTATGTGACAGCCAAGCAGAGCTGGTTATTTCATGTACAGGTGGTCATTCTTAAAAAAAAGTCCCTTAGACTGGTTTTTTGAAGAACTTGTGGCCATGATATACCCTGGGCAGGACCCGTGACAAAAGCAGTCGGTCGAGGGACAGGAGGACACGAGTGTGTTGTCTACAGCAGAAGCTGCACCATAAAAGTGGATGCCAGCTGTCTTCATCTTTATCATGTCCTGTCTTTACTGCTACGCCAACAGTCCAGCTCAGTACCAACTAAAACCAACTGACTGGTGTGGAATCATGCATTAAGAGATGTGAACTGATATTTTGTTTTAAACCCTCACCCTTGATCTGAGCGTACTCGATCAGCTGACTGTAGTTGATCCGAGCTGCTTTTTCCAGACACCTCTGCACCAGTTTCTTCATGTCCTCGGGAGGGACGGGCGTGGTAATGTCCTTCATCAAAACCTGAAATGACACAAACAACGGCCAAGTCTCGCTGAGGTTCACATCAGAGCACATGTTTATCGAGCATCTCGAAGTCAGTGATCACTCCAGTGTGACACAGTTTGGCTAAAAGTATTTTTTGAGCTTTATCGCTCCTTTATCTGTGCTGATCTGCACAGGTGTCTCAACCTGTTAGAAGCTGCACAAAACATCTGTTCATTCTGGGTGCACTGATGAGCTTATTAGATTGTTTTTTCTCAAAATGTACTGTAAATCATTTTTGACAGGGCCTTGTGCAAATGCAAACAGGAACGTGCTCTCTGCACTTACACCACGGTCCTCACAACCCCACAGCAACGGGGACAATGTCGATTTGCTACCTCAATGCTTTGGGTGATCAGAAGTAAATCAGAACTTTGATTGAAGCCACAGCTCATTAGCTAATTGGTGGGTTCATCGATTGCCCTTCCCTCAGTGTGAAGTTACGCAAAACAAGATGTACCAACACAATTTGTGACTGGTTTATCGGCACTACATATACATTTCTGTATGCATAACGTAACCAGCGCAGTCAATTATCTACCTATACACATGAAGCCTAAACATAAAAAAGGTCCTCTCTTCTGCATCTGTAATTGTTCACCTGTTAATTGTAAAGCTTGTGAGTTTTCACAAAATATTGGAAATGCTGCATTTGAGTGGGTTTCTTTACCCGTTCCTGCAGGGACAGCATGGCCTTCAGGGCACCTTCTGGTCTTCCAAAGGGAAAGCAGTACCTGCAGATGCAAAACATCGACAGGTATCACATTTAGAAACAATCTCATGGACAACTTAATAAAAGGAGAATAACAGGAAGAGAGAAACTGACGGTCAGCGTCAACAGATGGCTGCATCCTTTCATCTAATTACACTGATGAAGGAAGCTTTTCTCACCTCCAGCTCCATCTGAGCGCAGACGAGGCAGTTCAGGGAGGTTTCATGTAGCTAATTGACAAGTGAACAGTACTTAGTAGACAAAAGGCATGCAGTCATGTGGGTCACACTGTTGGACAAAAACCTACAGGCAGATGTCTGATGTGATGGGGAAAAAAACCACAACATGGATTTTAAACATCTTATCAAGCAGGACTTTGTCTGAAGGTTCTGCTCATACGTGAAGTCAAGTCAAATGTTCATGGTGCTCACTTAAATGAAAATCTATTAAAGAGCAGAATATGTTGAAAAAACAAATGAATTCTGTTTAATTTGTGTTTCAAATGGGTGCAGGCTTGTGACACATGAACGTTTATATCACATGAATTAATAGGCGACATTTATGACATCTCAGGAAAAAATAAAAGTGAATAAACAGAGTCAGCAGAAAGAACAAATCAATTAAATGATTTTCAGCCAGAAATTAAAGGCTACATATTTTTGTCAAACATGTGTCACACATGGTCACATGGTGTGTGGCAGCTCTGACTAAAGCCCGTTTCAGACATTAAATTAAAATTCCTCCTTTCTGGCTGACAGAGTGACACAGGTCAAATCTAGAAATTGCCTCTATAACCTACATTTTTCTGCCCAGCACAGACTGAGCGAAATGTCGTTTTTTTTTGCCTGAATTACGTTCCGTGGAAATGGTTTTCCTGTAAAGGCACAGGGTTTTGTCACCAGAACCAGCTGTCCAACAACCAGCTGGAGCAGCCACTGTAGTTTAACCTGAGCAAAGACTGATACAAAGCCGGGTCATGCTGCCAAGCACCCGCTCTCTGCCTGGGCGAGGGTAGGAGCCAGCAACGTTGTAAAGGTGCACTAGGCCAGCGACCAACACCAGGACCCAGTGTCAAAACATTTACCATGAGCACCGGGCTTCCACAAGGATGCTCATCCAACATTTAGCTGTGCGCTGAAAACTGTCCCGCCTGTGGTCAGAGTTAAGTATTAAAGCCCTCTGGTTAGAGAAAGCTCATGATTAATAAAATGAACATCTCCTGTCTCATGCTTCAATTCGTTGTCGGCTGTTTCAGTATTTAATCACAATCTCTCCTGAACCTTATCCGAGTGCCGAGTGTCTCAACACAACCATAAGAAACCTAATAATGCCGCAGCTGCTTAGAGCCGACAGTGTAAGTACAGAAAAGAACCGTCCTAGAGTAGCACTGACCTCAACCCTATCCAGTGCCTCTAGGATGAACCTGAAGACTGACACTGAGCCAGGCCTCATCGAGTTAATTTTCAAAACCAAAACTATGTTAAAAAATATTCACTGATGACCTATTTGACAAGACAAAGTAAATCAAAAGTAACATTTGATCATGAAAACTAGGAATAGGAATAAAAACTAAATGATAACATGAAAGATGAATGGACACAAAATAATAACCTGCAGCATGTTAGGACTCAAACTGTGGCTCCTGATTAGTGAAACCAAACCTCTCCTGTCCAGACGCTGACCTGCCGTTAACCAGAAGGCATTTAGCCTTTATTATTATGGGTTAAGCAAGTTGTGGGGAGGCAGACATGTTCAGCTATCAACTATGGGCGTAGTGTTCAGCTGTCCACATACTTTTGGCCATGCCATGCGTGTTTGGTGTACGACACCAAAATAAATGAACACATTCTACTACTTTTAAGTTGCCAGAGGAGGGACACTCCACCGTGATTGAAACCAAAGACAAATAATTACCCAAACATCATCTCCTTCGTGTGTAGGAAAGAATAATAATCATTAGTGGCTGTAATTGTCGCAGCTATAGTCATTAAAATTTATTGCCTTAAATGAATCTTTAGTGGCTGCGCTCAGCTTTAACTCCTGCTCTCGTCTGAGGACACCAGCATAATCCCAGCATTGTCCCAGCCTTTGTTTACCACCATTAGCCTCTTGTTGAGGTGAGGCAGTGATGACTGCCCCCTCCCCTCCTCTGTGGGGCCAGATGGAGGGCCCTGCGCCGGGCCTGGGGACAGTTAATGGCACAGGTCCATTCAGACAAGTGCCGCTCAAGGTCGCGGGGCTGTTTCTTTCACACTGCACCCACAGTGTGTTCACACGGCGCTGGCAGCACTGAATAGCAGCACGCAGACGCAGGGAGGTCTCATCAGCTGCTGTCGACGCACATCCCACACCTGTTGTGAACTGCTGATGGGGCTAAAAATACCCAAACTGCCTCACATTACTATGACAGTGTTAAGAGAGCATACCAGCAGTCCGACAAGTTTCCAGACCACTTCAAGCATAACTATGCACTTAGACAGAACACACAGTGGCAGACACACAGTCTGCCACTGATTTCTGTACCTGTAAGCGGAGTCAGACCTTGCTTGAGTTGTCTAATCCATCAAAAGGTCCACTATCTGTACCGTAAGAGGTAAAACTGCTTTATTAGCAGCGCAGTGGGCACAGGACAGAAACCAGCTGTCTGACTGTAAACTAGAGTAAGAGCCAAAATACAGTGGTTCCATGTCCCCAAGGATCACATTCAGTTTACCAAAGACTCCTAGAAGTGGAAAAAAAAAAATATATATATATATAAATCAGTGTCCCTAGCAAATGTTTGTGTTTTTATACCTGAAGTGTGTGATCTGGTCCTCCAGGAGAACCATGAGGCGACTCCTGACGGCCTCAAACTGCTCCTTCTCCTCCACAGTGACTGTTCCCATTCCATCAGGCCTGACGAGACACAAACGTCGCACAACAGTCACTTCTGAGTGCACAGAACTGCTGACTAAAGTACTGGTGCATTTGTTACTGACTTGGTCTATGTACATGGCACAACTCATCTGTCTGTGATTCAGAGGGAAACTGTTGTTTGCCTTCACACAGCAAAGACGGATACAAAACTCACTCTTCTGCTCTAACATCCTCCTGTTAACACAGATAAAGTAGTTTGGTTTCCTCGTAGCTCCAGTCGCTTCGGTTTGTGCTTGTTGTTCAGTCACTTAAAACCAACACTTGCAGCAAAAATTTGCCATAACAACCTCCATGGAAGGGGAGGTGTTATGCCCTCTGAGCAGCTGAAAGGCTTTTAATGTGAAGCATGGACAGAAAGCATTGAGTTCAACTGTCAGTACCTTAAACAGCAGATGGAAAAAAAACAGTAGAAGCTACTGGGATGAATTGACAGTTACCTTGTGAAAATACATGTATGGATTTGTTGATTATATAATATTTTACGTACATATAATAAAGTGTGAAAATAAAGCCTGTTTCAAATAAGGCTTCTGTCTTCAGTTCATGTAAATTAGAAGTATTAAATGAACTCCAGCTGTATCTTTTATGCTGCTGGCATTTCAGCACTGGAACTCTTTGTATTAAGACCTTATCATGGCTAATTATACAGGTCATACAGTTCTATACAACATTTCTGTAGGTCTGAACAGGGCACGAGCTGGAAAATCAAAGACGTGCAGAGGCAAAATCAGTGCAAGCATCTTCACATTTTCATACGAAAGCAAGAAAACAAAAACAAAATGTTGAGAAAATAGTTTGGGCTGCTTCTCTGTCTTGATCTGACAATTTTGACCAAACTAGCTGATCAAGCAGCCAAATTCTCCACGCTGACCTGAAAGTCAACCAATCTCACACAGAACTGCTCAGGCTCCCCTTCCTCCTCCACGACTCAGTCAGCCACAGGAGGAGAGCGGACAAAGAAAGAACGGTTAGCTGAGCGCTTCATTAATGTTTGTAAAGCTTTCATTCCCTTCTTGCCTTCGTCTGAATAGGCACTCTGGCAAAAAAGGGGAAAAATGCAATCAGTACCCGGGGCGGCCAGCCTTGACTTTCTGGGCTTTCTCTGTGCAGCTGAAAGAGAAACGCACCCTCTCCAAACGGCACTCGCGGTCGCCGGAGGGAAGAAGCGAGGAGGTTGTCTGTTAATGAGTTGTTCTTCTAAAAGCTTTCGCTGGTTCAGCCCCTGACCGCCGCACCTCGAGCATCAACAGCTCCGCTGAGCTCCTCGCGGCGTTCAACTCTCCAAAGTGGAAAATAAAAACGTGCAGCATCAGGGGAGATGAGGCACCACCGATCAACTTCCCCTGAATTATGAAAATATCAACTTAATTTAAGCCTCACTGAGAACATAAATCCTGGAAATGACAACAGCAGCACAGAGAACAAGGTTAAAAACAAATAATGCAACCATTTAACAATTAAAATAATAATAATAAAAAAATATAAAAACAGAAATGACCTACAGTGTCCAGTACATCTGTGTGGTGGATGCACCATGCGGTTCAATAAAATATGAAAAAACTGGCTAAATAAAATGACCTGAAATACAACAGTAAAGGAAATTAAGTTTCACAAAATATCAAAATGCAGTTACTTATATTTTAACCCACTAGAAAATAAAAATTAAATCACATAAAAAAACATTTAACATAAAATAAAATTACATAGATCAAATAAAATTCTAACTTCAAAAAATAAAAAAAGATCAGTGCCCATGAATTAACCTAAAATTAAAACAAATCTAAACAATAATAATTTATATACAACAAATAATTACAAAAAGCTGAAATTAAAACTAAAGTTCCATAACATATAAACACCTGAAATTAAAAAATACTTTAAATAGAACACTGAAACTACATACAGTACCACAATGTGCACTACAGGTGCACTGTGTACTGTTTCTTTACTCCGGGTGACCACGTCTCCAGCAGGTCGGTGTCGGTGGATGAGGATGACAACAGGAAGTGGATGTGCATTGTGTGAGAACATCAGCACCTTCAGTCTGTAATGACACGCAGCTTTCTCCAAACAACAGCACCCACACAATAGTACTTGTTAGCACAACTTCTAAACCCTGTTGTTCCCCAGATCTGCCAATTCATTACCACCCCGTCCACTTCCCACAGCCCCCATTTAACAAGCACCAGTTAATCCTGAGGAAACATAAAGCAGAGTTGTTGGGAGGGGCGTGTGCACTCGCTCATGTGAAGGCAAGGAAAGCTCGCCGCCCTCCTGACAAATGAAGACGTGGTCACAGCCAGGTCTCTGGTGGATGCATGCATGCGGAGATGCAGGGGTGGATGGCCCGAGGCCCCGAACCCTCACAGTTAACGCCAGCTGTCCTGTAATCTGAGTTGTTCATCTTCCTTAAACAATGAGCTGTTGTGTGCAGCCGAAGGTGAGGTGGCAGAAAATAAAACTGACTGAGCAGTTCTGCAGCTGTGTGGCTTCAGTGTGAAAAGGCTGGAGCTGAATTTATACTGCTTTTAGAGCAAAAAACTCAGCTACCGTTTTTCCTAAAAGATCCTCCACCGCCAGCACTCCAATTTAACAAACAACCGTGTTTTAGAGCAACATCCACCAGACACTGTTCAATTTTTTTTATGAGAAAAAATTAATCAAGAGATCTAATACACACACTATGGTTGCAAAAAGTCATTTTCATTAATAATGAGACTGACAGTTACTTTCTTTAGTGCTTTGTCTGTAAAGGTGGTGCTAAGTTCCAGTCCTGTGCCAGAGGTGATGTGTTCACACGTCTTTTGTGTGGCCAAACAGAGAAAAACCTGCAAATATTTAGTATTTTAAAAGCCACTTACGGCATCAATCAAAAGTGCTGCCAATAACGTCTGTCTGCAGACTCTTCATCACTTCACAGACCCCATGCACGGGCGGGAATTTTAAGATTTTTATTGAGCAGTTTCTCTCTTCACCCGTTTGTACACAGGTGTATAAGCAAGCTTTATTTCACTTTCAATTTGTTGGTTCTTTCAAAAATAAGACTCAAAAATATATTTTCATCCCAAAACAAAATATTTTGTACATAAATGAACAGAAATAAGACTTTAACCCTTTACTAGAGATATTAAGTCCCTCTCTTTAGATACAAAGATCCTGTGCTGAAACATTTTGAGCCGCAGGGATGATGTATTTTTGTAGGCCAACCAGGAAGTTGGCATCACCCAGGTTCCTTTGACAAACAGCCAATGCGGTTTGTCATAAGTTTAAGGATTATCATGGAAAATAAGGAAGCTCTGGGACAAACAGTTTATGACACATATGTTTTGTTCAGCAAGATCAACTTCACAGATGAACACCACTTTGATTTCTGAAGCCCAAATACAGCTGTCAGAAGTAAAAAGCTTTTATTCGACTATCAACAAACTACACCACAGCCCTACGACGTCACCATCACCACCATGGCTTCCAATCTGCTGGAAAACAGGAATTTCCCCAATGTGGGATCAATAAAGTCCTGCCCTACCCTGTAGGCTGATTCAGCACGCTTCCCTCTTCTACACAATCCTTTCCTCTTAGTGTGACCTGATCTAGCTAGTGACACGGCTGGGTCAGAACAAATCAAATCAAATTTTATTTGTATAGCGCCAAATCACAACAAAAGTCATCTCAGGACACTTCACAAAGTAAGGTCTAGACCTTACTGTTATCACTATTATTACATAGGGAAAACCCAACAAATCCCCCTTGAGCAAGCACTTGGCGACAGTGGGGAGGAAAAACTCCCTTTAACGGAAGAAACCTCCGACAGACCCCGGCTCTTGGTGGGCGGCCTTCTGCCTCGACCGGTTGGGGTGAGTGGATAGAGGAGAGACAAAAGAAGAAAAGCAACAAGACACAACAATCAAACACTGATCAGGTCGATGTGGCTGGTGACTGCTCGTCAGAGACATAGAGCTCCAGGGCCAGGGCAACCTGCAGAAAGGTACAGGGAGAGAGA